TTATACATATTTAGCTACGTAGAAGTTATACGCTAGACTGAGGTATGCTTCTAGTGAGTACAACCAACTAGTATTTGTTCTAGGTTTCCACTTCTAGTCAATTATTCAGTTCTTACTTTAACACAGATATCCCTTACAAATGAAAACCTGAAATTTCAGGAAATGCCAAAAACAAAAACAAAGTCTGCAACAGTAGCGACAAGCGCGTCAAGGCGCGAGACAGGAACAGCAGGGTCGGTAACAAGAGAGGCAAGGACCCGAGGGACAAGGGGACGAGCGGCACAGAGGTAGTCAGAGAACGGAGGAGGTGCAACAACAAGGGACGAGGGAGGAGGGGACGGGAGGAGGGGAGGACGAGGCGAGCGGGAACGGAGCAACACAGGGTGGGTGGGCAGGACAGGAGAGACGGGACGAGCACGGGTGAGACGGCGAGCCCAAACGTGAGACGGAGGTGTAGGGTCACGGGACAGCGGAGGGGACACAGGAGGGGAACGAGGAGGAAGACGGGCCGGAGACGAGTCCGGCGGCGGGAACACAGGACCGTAGACAGGAAGGTCAGCAGGAGGTGGGGGAGACACCGGAAGCGCGGTCCGAGGAGGGAAGGCCGAGCAGGCGGAGAGCGGAGACCGGCGGCGACGGCTGCTGCGACAGCTGGGCCGGAACCCTCGGACCGGCAGAGGCAGGACGACCGTCGGCGGAACCCTCAACAGCAGCACCCCCAGAACCAATACCCCCAGAGCAAGAACCCCCTCGAACTCCAGCGGCACCCTCGGGAGCCGCAGGACGAACACCCTCCTCAACGCCAGCACCCCAAGAGGCCAACGGCGGCAGCGGCGGCGGCGGCGGCTGCAGCGGTGGCGGTGACTGCGATTGCGACGGCGGCAGCGGCGACGGCGACTGCGGCAGGGAAGGCGGAGACACCGGGGAAGGGGGACGCAGTAGGGACGGGCCGGGGGGACCACCAGAGTCAGCAGACTCCTCAACGGGGACAACCGACGGGAGGGGAGTGACATGAGAGACACCAGACGGGGCAAGACGAGGCGGGAGCGGAGCAGGGGCTACCAGGGGAGAGGGAGCCAGGAACAGGGGCGGGGCAACCGGGAGACCTCGGTGAGGGAAGTGGCGGTAGAAGGAGACAGACTCGTCAAAAGTGACGTCACGAGAGTGGAGGAAGCGGTGAGACGGCGGGTGGTAGAAAAGTCAGTCAGACGAGTCTAGGGGGAAACCGAGGAAGACACAGGGGACAGTGCGGGCAGTGAGCTTGTCCGTGCCAGAGGCACGAACGTGAGCAAGGCAGCCCCAGACGTGGAACGCAGACGCGTCACCGGGGGACCCGGTCCAAAGGAGGGCCGGCGAAACCTGCGGCCGCTGGGAGCGTGGCCACAAGTTAAGCTGGTGAGCAGCGTAGCGAACAGCGAACGGCCACAGAAAATGGGGGGCATCGGCATGACTCATGGAGGTACGCGCGACCTCCATGACCAAGCCGATGCGGCGCTGAGCAACCCCATTCTGCTGTGGCGAGTCCGGCAAGGTGTACGACTGGGTGATGCCCTCCGCACGACAGAACTGTCCAGGCCGACCAGAGGCGAACTCGCCGCCACGGTCGGAGTGGAGACACAACACGGGGAGACCGCGGTGGAGACGCGCAACCACAACCCACGGGAGAAGAACGTCAGGCACGTCGGCCTTCCGCTCCAGGGGAAACACCGTGGTGTAGCGCGTGTAGTCGTCGACGAGCACAAGGAAGTAGCGCTCACCGCGCGGTCCGGGAACGGGGGCAGGGCCCCAAACGTCCAGGTGCAGGGTCTGAAGGGGGGCAGTAGCAGGGTGCAGCGAGGAGGAGTGAGGAGCACGGCGGAGACGACCCTCGACGCAAGGCGTGCACGGTGGCGCAATCGAGGGAGGAAGGGCAGGGAGCGACGCGAGGAGACCTAAGACAAGACCGTGCTGGGACATGTGAGGCGGACGCGGGAGAGAAGGGTGACCTAAGCGGTGGTGCCAGAGAAGGGACGGGTGAGTGAGGGACCGACACGAGCAGGCTGCAGCGACCTGGGAGGATGCACCAACTGGGGGGGAAGCGGTGTCTAGGGTAAACAGACCGGACACCGGGTCCCGGGGGAACGTCGCAAGGGGGGAACCTGAGACAGCCTCAGAACAGACAGCGAACCGCTCGTGCCCGGGGAACGTGGTGGTGACGCCGAGGTCCTGGAGACAGCCGACACCAACCAGGTTCCTTGAGAACGAGGGAACGTGCAGGCCTGTAAGGGAGCCCGATGGAACTGTTGGACAGGGAAGGGACGTAGAACTGCGAGCGACAACAGGACCTGAAGAGGGGTCAGCGAGAGAGACAACGGCAGGCGCAGCAAGCGGCGTGAGCGTGGAACAGTCGCGGAAGAAGCAGGCAGAAGCACCGGAGTCGAGAGTGAAGGACAGCGAAGTAGTGGCGGAGGCCGGGGACGGAGCCGGTGCAGCGACTAGACTAGGCAAGCTAGGCAGTCCTACGCCTGACGCAGTAGCGGAGACTAAGCTATACAATGGTGCAACACCTAAACTAGAGTACACAGGGTAATAAGATCCTGCAACACTAAAAGCGTCAGAATACAAAGCATGCAAGGCAGCACCTATCTGATCCATGTCTAACTCAAAGATCGGCACGCCCTGGCGGAGCAGGCTGTGCCAGTCGGGGAGGTCCGGGGCCGGGCCAAAGCGACGACGAAAGAGATCGTCGAGGCGGCGGAAACAGCGGGCGGTCGGGTGCGGGCAGCGGCACAGAGTGCTGCGAAGAGGCCCGGTCTGAAGCTGGTACTGGCAGGTGACAGCACCGGAGCCGCCGGTAGACGCCAAGCTGCGCGGGCCGCCACCACGGCCACAACCTCCGGAGGTGCCGGGCCAACCTGGCGGGAGACGGGCCCACTGCTGCGGCGACTGCTGCTGGGACGGTGACTGCTGCTGGGGCGGCGGCTGCGGCTGGGGCTGCTCCTGCTGCGGCTGGGGCTGCTGCTCCTTCCCACAAGTGGTAGTCCCCGCAGGCGGACTACCGTCACCACCACTACCGCCACCACCACCACTTGCGCCACCACCCCTACCTCCCTGGCGACCACGGCCACCGCGGCGCGAGCGCTGCTGCGGGTGGACCGCACCAGCAATCTCGGTGAGAGGGGCCGCCGAGGCGACCGCAGCCGAAACGTCAGTGAACGTACACTGGGAGGGGGCACAACCGTGAAAGATAGAAACAGCCGGCGCACCGCTCGATTGAGCGATAGTGCGCTGGCGAGTCTCGATCTCTGTGAGGGTATCGACAAAGGCAGTAAGGGTGAGGTCACCCGGGTGCTGGCTAAGGAAGTGATCGCGAGCACTAGTGAGGTGGTCTGGCAGGCGCATGGCGATAAAATAGAGCATCATGCAGAAAGGGGGGGGGAGCGCAGTGAGCTGGGCAGCAGTGCTGGCAGTGCGATAGCGGGTCTCTAGGGCACGTAGGTGAGTGGCAAAGTCTGCGACAGTAGGGAAAGCTGCAAGGTCTGGGAAAAGCACAGGGAAGAGTAGGCGACCTGCAGAAGCAGACGCGGGTATGGAATAACGAGCAATAACAGGGTCTAAGTAAGCTTTGGCCGTCTCAATAGTAGCAAAACGTGAGCGCTTAGAGACTGGGAGGGCGTGGCTAATGGCAACCTGAGCGACTGCATCGCGGGAGTCCCAGACCGCACAGGCAAGCGCAGCAGTAGAGAAGGTCCCACGGTCATCAGAGGAGGGATCAGCAGGGAGGGGAGCAGGTGCGGGGGGGCGGGGGAGCAAGCCGTCGACATGGACAACCAAAGAGTGGCCATCCTGGCGCTGACCTGTAAGGTGGCGGCGGAGATCGGAGAGCCAGGCGGCGAAGTCAACCGCATGGCCCTCGGCGTCCAGTCGGAGCACGAAGTCAGCCATCGTGCAGGGTCAGTGGCACAGCTCCACAGGAACACAGCGACGCAGGAACACAGCGACAGCCCCCTCCATCACGACGGCCGCGAAGCGCCTCAGCACGGGCGAGCAGAGGAGACGGAGCCCGAGGCGGCACGGCAGGACGAGCCGGGGCGAAGGGGCTAGGCAGGTGCGGTGGGGCCAGGCAGGTGCTGGCGGGGCCAGGCAGGCGTGGCAGGGCCAGGCAGGCGCGGCGGGGCCAGGCAGGCGCGGCGGGGCCAGGCAGGCGCGGCGGGGCCAGGCAGGGCGCGACGGGGCCAGGGGGGCGCGACGGGGCCAGGCAGGCGCGTCAGGGCCAGGCAGGTGCAGCGGGGCCAGGCAGGCGCGGCGGGGCCAGGCAGGCGCGGCGGGGCCAGGAAGGCGCGGCAGGGCCAGGGAGGCGCGGCGGGGCCAAGCAGGCGCGACGGGGCCAGGCACGGCGCGACGGGGCTAGGCAGGGCGTGACGGGGCCAGGCGGGCGCGACGGAGCTAGGCAGGGCGCGACGGGGCCGAGCGGGCGCGACGAGGCCAGGCAGGCCGCGACGGGGCCAGGCAAGGCGCGACGGGGCCCAGGAGGGGCGCGACAGGGCTAGAGGGCGTGACGGGGCCCAGGAAAGGCGCGACGGGGCTAGGGTGGGGCGACGGGGCTAGGGTGGTGCGACGGGGCCCAGGAGGGGCGCGACGGGGCTACGAGGCGCGACGGGGCCCAGGAGGGGCGCGACAGGGCTAGGGTGGCGCGACGGGGCTAGGGTGGCGCGACGGGGCCCAGGAGGGGCGCGACGTGGCTAGGAGGCGCGACAGGGCTAAGAGGCGCGACGGGGCCTAGCTAGGGTACGGGCGGAAGCGGTAGGTGGGGGATGCTAACCTACGCGTGATACCATGTCAAAGTGAGAACGAATAATGACTAGAAGTGGAAACCTAGAACAAATACTAGTTGGTTGTACTCACTAGAAGCATACCTCAATCTAGCCTATAACTTCTACATAGCTAAATATGTATAAGTTGACAACAGGGTCTCGGCAGTGGCACCCCCTCTGCGGGTGAGGCGGGAGAACCAGAAACCCTTGATTGTGGAAACATTATTTGGAATCAAAGTGAGCGTGTATACTGGACACGAAACATTTATGAAGCCCAAGAAATACAACACTCAACATTCTCTTTAAATGGTTAACTTCATAGCACATAACACGAGTGAGGAAAGTAGGAATCCTACAATCTACGTTGCCCCTGCAACCCAGTCAAGCGACCAGGTCGCATCGTTTAGCCGCCGAATAAGCTCAAACTGAATCAAACGATGGCAGTGCATATGAATACATGGACATAGCATTAACCAACACGGTCCATATCAAGACCCAAGGGGATTCATGCGACCACCGTGCATTGAGATAGCGAAGGGGTGTTTGTCGGTCGAGCGGGACATGCAAGACACATGAACCAGGGATGAAGACAGGACGGGAGGTGTGTCAAAGCGAAGGGAAGTGACTTAGGTAGGACGAGGAGAGGGGATCGGGGGGATGCGAGCTATAGGGGGGCGACGAAAGGGGTGTGAGTGAGGGTTTCGGTTTTGGAGAAAACAAATGACGACGGCCTCAGTACAAAAAGGGCAGAGATTGGATTGAATTATTGCGTTGCGACGCTATTAGAATCCGATAAAGGTCGATGTGATGTGAGTTGTGACCAGCAGTAGACGGGACAGGCGCTGTTATTGCGTTACACAGGTGAGGAGTCTATTTTTAAGGCGCCTCAGAAGTAGAATCCGAGAAAGGTGGACGGGAAGATGTGACCAGCAGTAGACGGGACAGACGCTGCTATTGCGTTACACAACACGCGAGGTCGAGGGGGCAGCTGTTACATAGTGCACAGCAGCACTAGAGGAGACTTTACTCTGGCATCAAACTCTTGTGTAACATGGGTAACATAACACATTGAACCAAGTTACGTACCACAGAGGGAGCAGAGCCCGGGGGGGGGTAGGTGATGTTCCTGGGAATGGCGGTCTGGTAGTCCCTCTTGTCAAAATGCCACGGACCCACCTTACCAGGCAGGTGGTTTCCCTGGGGGGGAGGGAAAGGGCGTTTAAGGCAAGAGGCATTGAGGGAGGGTGGGGAAACATCAAACCCTAAACACTAAGGAATCAATGGGGCTTTTGAACTTTGGAATCTTGGACTCAAAGCGCTTGTTGGGCACTGCCATGCTTTGGGTGCATGATCGAGAGGCTTTTGAAGTTCGATTTTGGACTCAACGCGCTTGTCGGATACTGCTGTGCTTTGGGTCCTTGACTGCACATAAATTTTACTCATTTTCCGTTTTCCAAAGAAAACGTTTTTGGACACTGAATTGAATCGAATCACAGCCGCTCATGAAATGTTGTGGAAACAAATCCAAAGCCAGGGCGTGCTCAGGATAAGGTACCAGAACCTTGTCCTCGTGGTGAAATGCTGTGGTGGACACCAATCCAAGCCCAAGGTACCAGAACCTTATCCTCGTGGTGATTACCAAGCCGTGCGATTGCAGTACCGGCAAATCGCATGTTACTGTTCAATGTGATGACCATGCCATGACCTTAACCCTTAACCTTAACCGCAAAACCCTACACCCTAAATCTTATACACCCAGCCTAGTCTACAGGCGTGTCCCCACAACCAAGCGCTTACATTGAGGTCAAAGTCGCATCCATATGTGAAATGAATCATGTACGCATCACCTGTTGTTTTGTCCCAGGGGGGCTGAGGATAGGAGGGAAAAGGATGAGAGAGGGGGAAAGAGGGGAGATGAAGGGAGCAAGGAGAGAAGTAAAACGAATCATGTATGCATCGCCCAACGTTCTGTCCAGTTGAGGAGGGAAGGGGGAAGGGGGGGGGGGGGGAGGTGGGGAGAGTAAAATATAGAAAAGCATAGGGACAAGGGACAAGGGACATGAAGCGGTGTAGCAAGGGTGCGTTGCCTAGAGTCCTGGTCCCAGGGAGGGTGAAAGGAGGACGAAAGGAGGAAATGAACGGGAAGCACGGAGGGTGTACTTGCAAGGTACGACAGCCATCGCCTCACCTGAGGGAGGGTGTACTTGCAAGGTACGACAGCCATCACCTCACCTGAGGGAGGGTGTACTGGCAAGGTACGACAGCCATCGCCTCACCTGAGGGAGGGTGTAATTGCAAGGTACGACAGCCATCGCCTCACCTGAGGGAGGGTGTACTTGCAAGGTACGACAACCATCGCCTCACCTGAGGGAGGGTGTACTTGCAAGGTACGACAGCCATCGCCTCACCTGAGGGAGGGTGTACTTGCAAGGTACGACAGCCATCACCTCACCTGAGGGAGGGTGTACTGGCAAGGTACGACAGCCATCGCCTCACCTGAGGGAGGGTGTAATTGCAAGGTACGACAGCCATCGCCTCACCTGAGGGAGGGTGTACTTGCAAGGTACGACAGCCATCACCTCACCTGAGGGAGGGTGTACTGGCAAGGTACGACAGCCATCGCCTCACCTGAGGGAGGGTGTACTTGCAAGGTACGACAGCCATCGCCTCACCTGAGGGAGGGTGTACTTGCAAGGTACGACAGCCATCGCCTCACCTGAGGGAGGGTGTACTGGCAAGGTACGACAGCCATCGCCTCACCTGAGGGAGGGTGTAATTGCAAGGTACGACAGCCATCGCCTCACCTGAGGGAGGGTGTACTTGCAAGGTACGACAGCCATCGCCTCACCTGAGGGAGGGTGTACTTGCAAGGTACGACAGCCATCACCTCACCTGAGGGAGGGTGTACTGGCAAGGTACGACAGCCATCGCCTCACCTGAGGGAGGGTGTAATTGCAAGGTACGACAGCCATCGCCTCACCTGAGGGAGGGTGTACTTGCAAGGTACGACAGCCATCGCCTCACCTGAGGGAGGGTGTACTTGCAAGGTACGACAGCCATCGCCTCACCTGAGGGAGGGTGTACTTGCAAGGTACGACAGCCATCGCCTCACCTGAGGGAGGGTGTACTTGCAAGGCACGACAGCCATCGCCTCACCTGAGGGAGGGTGTACTGGCAAGGTACGACAGCCATCGCCTCACCTGAGGGAGGGTGTACTTGCAAGGTACGACAGCCATCGCCTCACCTGAGGGAGGGTGTACTTGCAAGGTACGACAGGCATCGCCTCACCTGAGGGAGGGTGTACTTGCAAGGTACGACAGCCATCGCCTCACCTGAGGGAGGGTGTACTTGCAAGGTACGACAGGCATCGCCTCACCTGAGGGAGGGTGTACTTGCAAGGTACGACAGCCATTGCCTCACCTGAGGGAGGGTGTACTTGCAAGGTACGACAGGCATCGCCTCACCTGAGGGAGGGTGTACTTGCAAGGTACGACAGGCATCGCCTCACCTGAGGGAGGGTGTACTTGCAAGGTACGACAGCCATCGCCTCACCTGAGGGAGGGTGTACTTGCAAGGTACGACAGCCATCGCCTCACCTGAGGGAGGGTGTACTTGCAAGGTACGACAGCCATCACCTCACCTGAGGGAGGGTGTACTTGCAAGGTACGACAGCCATCGCCTCACCTGAGGGAGGGTGTACTTGCAAGGTACGACAGGCATCGCCTCACCTGAGGGAGGGTGTACTTGCAAGGTACGACAGCCATCGCCTCACCTGAGGGAGGGTGTACTTGCAAGGTACGACAGGCATCGCCTCACCTGAGGGAGGGTGTACTTGCAAGGTACGACAGCCATTGCCTCACCTGAGGGAGGGTGTACTTGCAAGGTACGACAGGCATCGCCTCACCTGAGGGAGGGTGTACTTGCAAGGTACGACAGGCATCGCCTCACCTGAGGGAGGGTGTACTTGCAAGGTACGACAGCCATCGCCTCACCTGAGGGAGGGTGTACTTGCAAGGTACGACAGCCATCGCCTCACCTGAGGGAGGGTGTACTTGCAAGGTACGACAGGCATCGCCTCACCTGAGGGAGGGTGTACTTGCAAGGTACGACAGGCATCGCCTCACCTGAGGGAGGGTGTACTTGCAAGGTACGACAGCCATCGCCTCACCTGAGGGAGGGTGTACTTGCAAGGTACGACAGGCATCGCCTCACCTGAGGGAGGGTGTACTTGCAAGGTACGACAGGCATCGCCTCACCTGAGGGAGGGTGTACTTGCAAGGTACGACAGGCATCGCCTCACCTGAGGGAGGGTGTACTTGCAAGGTACGACAGGCATCGCCTCACCTGAGGGAGGGTGTACTTGCAAGGTACGACAGCCATCGCCTCACCTGAGGGAGGGTGTACTTGCAAGGTACGACAGGCATCGCCTCACCTGAGGGAGGGTGTACTTGCAAGGTACGACAGCCATTGCCTCACCTGAGGGAGGGTGTACTTGCAAGGTACGACAGGCATCGCCTCACCTGAGGGAGGGTGTACTTGCAAGGTACGACAGGCATCGCCTCACCTGAGGGAGGGTGTACTTGCAAGGTACGACAGCCATCGCCTCACCTGAGGGAGGGTGTACTTGCAAGGTACGACAGGCATCGCCTCACCTGAGGGAGGGTGTACTTGCAAGGTACGACAGGCATCGCCTCACCTGAGGGAGGGTGTACTTGCAAGGTACGACAGGCATCGCCTCACCTGAGGGAGGGTGTACTTGCAAGGTACGACAGCCATCGCCTCACCTGAGGGAGGGTGTACTTGCAAGGTACGACAGGCATCGCCTCACCTGAGGGAGGGTGTACTTGCAAGGTACGACAGCCATTGCCTCACCTGAGGGAGGGTGTACTTGCAAGGTACGACAGGCATCGCCTCACCTGAGGGAGGGTGTACTTGCAAGGTACGACAGGCATCGCCTCACCTGAGGGAGGGTGTACTTGCAAGGTACGACAGCCATCGCCTCACCTGAGGGAGGGTGTACTTGCAAGGTACGACAGCCATCGCCTCACCTGAGGGAGGGTGTACTTGCAAGGTACGACAGGCATCGCCTCACCTGAGGGAGGGTGTACTTGCAAGGTACGACAGGCATCGCCTCACCTGAGGGAGGGTGTACTTGCAAGGTACGACAGGCATCGCCTCACCTGAGGGAGGGTGTACTTGCAAGGTACGACAGCCATCGCCTCACCTGAGGGAGGGTGTACTTGCAAGGTACGACAGGCATCGCCTCACCTGAGGGAGGGTGTACTTGCAAGGTACGACAGCCATTGCCTCACCTGAGGGAGGGTGTACTTGCAAGGTACGACAGGCATCGCCTCACCTGAGGGAGGGTGTACTTGCAAGGTACGACAGCCATCGCCTCACCTGAGGGAGGGTGTACTTGCAAGGTACGACAGGCATCGCCTCACCTGAGGGAGGGTGTACTTGCAAGGTACGACAGGCATCGCCTCACCTGAGGGAGGGTGTACTTGCAAGGTACGACAGGCATCGCCTCACCTGAGGGAGGGTGTACTTGCAAGGTACGACAGGCATCGCCTCACCTGAGGGAGGGTGTACTTGCAAGGTACGACAGGCATCGCCTCACCTGAGGGAGGGTGTACTTGCAAGGTACGACAGGCATCGCCTCACCTGAGGGAGGGTGTACTTGCAAGGTACGACAGGCATCGCCTCACCTGAGGGAGGGTGTACTTGCAAGGTACGACAGGCATCGCCTCACCTGAGGGAGGGTGTACTTGCAAGGTACGACAGGCATCGCCTCACCTGAGGGAGGGTGTACTTGCAAGGTACGACAGGCATCGCCTCACCTGAGGGAGGGTGTACTTGCAAGGTACGACAGGCATCGCCTCACCTGAGGGAGGGTGTACTTGCAAGGTACGACAGGCATCGCCTCACCTGAGGGAGGGTGTACTTGCAAGGTACGACAGGCATCGCCTCACCTGAGGGAGGGTGTACTTGCAAGGTACGACAGGCATCGCCTCACCTGAGGGAGGGTGTACTTGCAAGGTACGACAGGCATCGCCTCACCTGAGGGAGGGTGTACTTGCAAGGTACGACAGCCATCGCCTCACCTGAGGGAGGGTGTACTTGCAAGGTACGACAGGCATCGCCTCACCTGAGGGAGGGTGTACTTGCAAGGTACGACAGCCATTGCCTCACCTGAGGGAGGGTGTACTTGCAAGGTACGACAGGCATCGCCTCACCTGAGGGAGGGTGTACTTGCAAGGTACGACAGCCATCGCCTCACCTGAGGGAGGGTGTACTTGCAAGGTACGACAGGCATGGCCTCACCTGAATCATCCAGTCTTTCCTGAGAATGTGGGTGTACCCCAGCATGGCTGATGCCGTCGCATAGCCATACCTGCCAGCCAGCACCGAGCGAGGGACAACGAGGAAGAGGCAGCAGGGTGGGAGACCACTGATAGCGGCGTTTGAATCTACTCGGAAGCAGAGCAAGGAACTTTCAGAATTCTAAAAAATCTACTCAGAAGCAGAGCAAGGAACAATGGGATGAGGACGGCCGGGAACACAGAGCATTGGAAAGGGGCGATTCACCATCTCATTTCATCCAGTCCCGGCAATGCTGCCTTCCCCCAATAACCCACCCCATTCCATCCCATACACCCCCCCCCCCTGCCCCCCCCCTCCCGCCCCCCCTCCCCCTTACATCTCCAGTACCCATCCCAACGCCTTGCCTATCTCTGAATCGCTCTTGCTATCCCACCCATCCCTTTGCACCCACCACAACCCACCTCCTCGTACTGACTCATCCCAATGAAGCCGCCCTATCCCATGGCTCCCCCTTACATCTCCAGCACCCATCCGAACTCCTCTGCGTCGCTCTTGAACTGCAGCAAGACAGAGCAGTATCAGGTCATCAGGTCATCCCACTCCCATACCAGCCCACCCCACCCCACCCCATCTCACATCTCCAGCACCCATCCGAACTCCTTGTCGATCTCTGGGTCGCTCTTGAACTGCAGCGATACGTTGTGCCACAAGGGCGCTATCTTCAGAAGGTCTTTCTGACAAATGGTGGGGTATGAAAAAACGGCATAGGGGAACGCAAAATACGGCATAGGGGAACGCAAAATACGGCATAGGGGAACGCAAAATACGGCATAGGGGAACGCAAAATACGGCATAGGGGAACGCAAAATACGGCATAGGGGGACGCAAAATACGGTGGTATCTGGGAGTGTCCGTCTCTGGGGTCGCTCTTGACTTGCATCGACACGTTGTGACACGGCGGCATGAGAAAGAGCCTAGTTTTGAGGCGCCTCAAAACGAGTGTCTGTCGCTGGGGTCGCTCTTGACTCGCATCGACAAGTTGTGACACGGCGGCATGAGAAAGAGTCTAGTTTTGAGGCTCCTCAAAACGAGTGTCTGTCGCTGGGGTCGCTCTTGACTCGCATCGACAAGTTGTGACACGGCGGCATGAGAAAGGGACGCAGGCAAAAACAGTGAACACGAGGAGGAGGGGAGGGAGAGGAACATCTGGGAGCGGGACGCCTGGGAGTGGGACGCCTGGGAGTGGGACGCCTGGGAGTGGGACGCCTGGGAGTGGGACGCCTGGGAGTGGGATGCCTGGGAGTGGGACGCCTGGGAGTGGGACGCCTGGCAGTGGGACGCCTGGGAGTGGGCCGCCTGGGAGTGGGACGCCTGGGAGTGGGACGCCTGGGAGTGGGCCGCCTGGGAGTGGGCCGCCTGGGAGTGGGCCGCCTGGGAGTGGGCCGCCTGGGAGTGGGCAAGAGCTGGCAGCAACACGTTGTGTTACAGACAGAGGAGCTATGTGTCATTGGCTCCCATATTCCAAGCTCGTCCTAGAAAAGGCCCAAGGCCCTTGTTGAGACGGCTAAACACGCTCCTTGTAATATGTGTCAGAGAACGAGTTGTAAATATGTTGCCTCCCACTCACCTTCTTTATAATTACAGGAGAGTTCCCGATGGGATCGATGTTTGTGATCGGCCCTTTTTCAGCTGGGTACCAGCGCCTCAAGAACCCTGGCATTGGGGGGGGGGGGGGGGAGAGGGGGTGTTGAGTGCGGTGAAGAGGAGTGGATGAGAGAGGGAAGCATTTTAGGAATTAAAGAAGTTCCAACTTGGGTCGATGTTGGTGATCGGCGTTTTTTCAATTGGGTGCCACCGCCTCAACAACCCTGGAAGCTCATGCTATGCTTCTAGGGTTGTTGAGGCGTTGGAACCGGATAGCGTGGGCTGAAGTGCGGCAAAAGGAGTTTAGAAGGCCCCGAAAAAAAGGTGTGATGATAATTTCGTTTTGAGTCGACTCAAAACGAAACTATTATCACACGGATAAGCGTGGTTGGGTTGAGGAGTGGTACATCCTCAGCTGGGTACCGCCCCTTAAGAAAGTGTGAGAGAATTTTAGAATTCCAAATAGAAACTGGCAGACGGCATTCGGGGGTGGGAAGGGATCGAATGGGATGCAGAGCAGTGAAGGAAGATCGAAAATGCGTGCGGAAAAGTGGAAAATTATACAACGGGGAGGAAAGGGGTGAAAATATATAAAAGGCAGGCATAGGGGATGTAGGTGTATCAAGGTGTGTTTTGAGCCGACTCAAAACACGGTAGGTATGAAAGGCAGACATAGGAGAGAGAAATAAGTGCATTAAAGACGGGAAGAGGTCCGGAAGTGAGGGCGATATTGCGGAATCTATTTAGCCTTTGAAAGAACGAGGTATCAAGCCTTTAAGATATGACTCACACTCTTGCTTGACTCACTCTCTTGGTCCTTCCTTGGGCACGAATACGATATAGAAGGCTCCCATGATTCCCTAATGAGTACCACAACACCACTCACTCTCTTGATCCTTGGGCCAACGTGGAAGAAGGGAAGGCGGCCGGCAGCATTTCATTTGGCAGACTCGGTATGGCCATCCCAACCAACCCATCCCAGCCGTTCCCAACCCATCCCAACCCATCCCATCCCATTCCTTCCCTCAACTCACTCTCTTGATTCTTTGGCACGATGTAGAAGAAGGGGAAGGCGGCCGGCAGCATGTCAGTTGCCAGGTTGGGGATGGGCTTTAAGATGATGTGGTCTGGCTCGGCCATCCACACGTACCTGCAAGCCATGGGAATGAGAGTATGGATAGCAGCATCGGAAGCAACACGGATGGATCATGGAAATATGGGGAGCGGCAGCATGAGAGAGGCTGAAAATGGGCTTCAGAATGGTCCTCCACATTCTCAGAATGGCGCAGCCATCCACATCCACACATACCTGCAAGATCTAGACGGACAAATCGTCCTGTGTATGGCTGACCCATACTTAGCATAAGTAGCAGCTCCTTTAGATGCGGCCAGCCAGCCACAGAGTTCTAGAATTCTCAGAACTGCCCCCAACTTGATGTAGCAACCCGACCCTTGAACTACGGAATACAAGATGTACCCCAGGAGTGTGGGAACGGCAAGAGATGACTCAAACAAGTGTGGAATGAGTCTATTTTTGAGTCGACTCATTACACACGGAATAATATATGTACCCCACGAGTGTTCCCATATTGAGTGTAGGAATGGCAAGAGATGTCTCAAAGGAGAATCTTTAAGGTGCCAAGACCAAAAACAAAAAAAACTCACTCTTCCTCAATCTGCGCCTTTTGAATCCACTGCACGAACGCCCATGGCCGATTCAGAACCACATAACCCTGGGAAGGGTATAGGGAGGGACGAGGGAAAGGAGGGAGGGAGGAAAGGAGGAAAGGGGAGAAGCCTTCTGAATCCGCTGAACGAACGCCAATGGCCGTTTCAGCACCACATAGCTCTCAGAAGGGTAGGTTCCAGAGAGGGAGGGGAGCGAAGGAGGGCAGGAATGGAGCATTTCGGAATAGAGCCGTTAGTTACTGGACGAACGGCCTAGGCACAACCTAGCTTTTCGACAATGAAGGGGGTGGAAGGAAGTGGGGTGCGGGGAGGGGAAGGAGGAGAGGAGGAGGGGGGAGAAGGGAGGGGTGGGGAGAGGGGGGGGGGAAGGGGGGGGGAGTTTATGGAACTGTTTCCGCCTCACCTGATCCATCCCGAATAAATTGACTAGACCTCAAAACATGAGGCAGGGGATCAACCAGGCACATCGGAATCAGCAATGATGGGACGAGCTTTGCTCACCTGATCCCATCCAGGAGGATGGACCTGAGATGGGACGGTAGTCTATCGCCATCTATTCCTGGGCTCAACGACTAACGTCGACTAACGTCGGAATCGAATCCATTAGATTGTCATTGTGATTGGTAAGAAGCGACTTTTGAGGCGCCTCAAAAGATTGTCATTGTGATTGGTAAGAAGGGCTGGAATAGATTTTCCTTCTGACACCAAACGCTTGTCCGGCGCTTGTCAATTTTCCTCACCTGGTCTATTCCAGAGGGTGGAGGGCCGACAACAGACGTCGGGACTTCGTCCAGAGTATCGGGCTTCCCTGAGAGTGCAGCACGAGGAATTTCAACCCCCCCATCGCCGATTCAGGCAAAACACCAAGAAGCGCATTTCTGCTCACCTTATCCATTCCAGGAGGTAGAGGATCGACGACAACCGTCGGAATCTCGTCCATCAGATTGTCCGGCTTCCCTGAGTGCAGCACGCGCGTAAATCCCCCCATCTCCGATTCAGGCTCGTTTCGATACTTCTGATAGTAGAAGTACATGATCCGCGACTGCCACTTAGTGTACGGCGAGTCGTTACACGTCATCGCGGTGTGGAAGTACCGCTTCTTTTTCACACCGGAGCTCGGCCCTTCCGGCCGTTTCACCACCGCCGAGCCTCCATCCGAGCCTACGTCCGAGCCTACCCCATCCGAACCGGTCCCGCTGGTTTGGGGGAGTGGTTTTCCTGTTAGAAGCGGTCGGCCTCCCCGGCGGAGGCGACTACTGAAGGTGCTTTTATCGAAGGAGCCTTTAGAGCGGATAGAGACGCGGTGACGAGCGGTGCTGAGGATCATACCGACGACATTGTAGGAGGCGACGAAGGCGGAGATGGAGAGGATCACGAGGAACGGAACGGCGAACCGAGACATCTCTGTCACAGAGATAAAATCCAAACTCTATACAATCTTTGCTGTGTTCTTATAACGGAGGCACCAATAACAGATGATCTGCCGAAGGTCGCTCAGCAAACGGATCGTTCGCTAAGAGCTGTTTTCAGAAAGATGCAGTCCAATGACGAATTACTTGCAGACATAACCGCTGCTCAGTACTCGTCTCTTTGCTAAGCGATGAATGCGGTCAGGAAAACAGTCACTGCAGAGCTGGCTTTTGAGTCGACTCAAAAGTCACCAGCGGTCAGGAAAACGGTCACCGCAGAGAATAATCGACGATCAGCATCTCGTATGTATGCAAAGCGCCGCAATGAGGCAGCTCGAATCTCTCGCCTTGCTGGTTACTGAGATCGGAGTACAAGTGACGGACGGTCAACGAAGGAATCTTGGGGTCGATTCAGTGGATGAAGACGCTGACAGTGATTGCAGATTTACGGTCTAGATGCCTTCTATTTCAATTCAAAGAGAGCCTTTTCAATATCGACTCCAACGCCGGGAATTAACAAAAAACTGTTCGCTAATCTAAGGGCGATTGTGACTGATGCAATGAGACTAAATATCAGCTGACCATAGGGGATAGGAGGCACTTGCATGTGAGTAAGTCAGTTGAATATGGTCTCTGAAAGGCACCCTTCAAAGGAGCCAGGAGACAACTCTGGGGAGTATTCCTTTTGCGGATTAGAAAGAGGTTTCCCCTTGATTGACACGAGGTTGAATGAATTTTCCAGTGAATGCTTTTTGAAGAGGCTTCGCCAAGCGTGGGAACACATTGTCGGGTGAGGGTCCATTCCGGGCTCGTGTCATCTGGGCTTCCCGGCATCATTTGCCTCATTCTGGAAGACCCGAAGTTCCGAAACGCTGACAAATGATAATCAGAAGCTGGGATGACACGAGCCTGGAATGCGCCCTGAGACGTGGCTGACAAACATCGCGCGGAGGGTGTTACTGCTGGCGATTACGACTTTTCTGGCGAAAGGTTACTAGATTCTCAAGGGTTCGTGCATGGCTTCGTCCGTGTAGAGCGACCACAACACTGTTAGCGAAAATATGCGGAGAGTCTAGCGAACATAAGGGACTGTCACGATGAAAGCTTTTGGGGATTGTACCACTGGGGATCAATGCTCACCAACTGATGACTTTCAAACACTTCACGCCTTTCAGGGACCACCATAGATTTCAGTTTCTGTTTCTTTTCTTGAATTTACCTAACAGCAGGAGAGCTCTCCTGCTAGTTTCTGCATACTGTGCGCACAGTATGCGCGTAAAACTGTAACGAGGCGACTTTTGACTCGACTCAAACGTCACTTCAAAGTATGCGCGTAGTATGCGCATTCACAGCTTGTTGATCGCCTAGTATCACCGCGAATGAGAGTATGCACGCCCGTGTGAGCGCTAACGCGCGGTGCCATCTTCCTGGCAAAGGTCAGCAGACTTCTGAGTCGACTCAAAACGTCGCTTTGTAGTGAACGCGGCCACCTTCCTGGCAAATGTCAGCACCTGCGCTTGTGATTGCTTAGTATCACCGCGAATGAGAGTACGCACGCCCTTGTGAACGCGAACGCGCACGCGCGGGGCCATCAACCCCCGCACTGTCAGTACCCGCGGAGCGACTTTCCCGCCGTCTTTTCTTGCGAATGCGCAATGGCGGTGTCTGCAGCGCTGGTTCCCGCCGTCGTCCTTTGGCTGCTGCTCAACCTCCTCGTTCCCGTTCTATTTAAGGTATTTTCCCTCGTGGTGGCGTTTCAAGTGCCGTCTGGTGAGCCGTGTTCCTTTGGCTGCTTCTCAATCCCCTCGACCCGAGCTAGTCTAGGTACAGCAGGAGCAAAATCTCAAGTGTCTCCTTGAATGGCGGTACCTGGCCTTTGAGATGGCGTAATCAATTGAGAGGTCTCAAGCGACGTCTGGTACAGCATGATCAATTTTTCAAGTGTCTCCTTGAATGGCTGTACCTGGCCTTCTAGATTCCGCAATTTATTGAGCGTCTGGTAAGCCTTTCTCTGTTAGAGGCTGCTTGTGGATCCCCTCGCTCCCCTGGTCTTCAAGGTACTCGAGTCGCTCAGCTAGGTCCCTGGACATATTACCTCAGGCGCCAGTTTTCCTTTGGTAGCCTGTGAATCCCCTCGCTCCCCTGGTCCTCAAGCTGAACGTCGGGTACTTTCCCTCGTAACGCCGGGTACTTTCCCTCGTAACGCAGGGTACTTTCCCTCGTAACGCAGGGTACGTTCCCCTGTTATTCTCCTGCTCTTCAATGTACCGCGCGTCGCTCAACAAGGGGACTGAGAAGCATCCGAGAAACAGCGGCCTTCTTTTGCTCTGCCGCTCCTCCCCCCCTTCCGCCTCCTCCGCTAATGCCTGCACTATTCCCCCTGCCTGCACTGGCGCTGGCTGCACAGAGACACATCAGGAAGAGCCTCAGCTCCCCCCTCTCCCCCGTCCTCTCCCCCCTTTCCCCCCCCCTCCCCCCCCTGTCCGTTCCCCCAGTGCGCGGAATCCACTCTCTGGTCGTTGCCCCAGCACTGACGCTGGTTGCGTAGGCGCACCAGGAAGAGCCCCAGTTGCACCAATACGCAGATTGCCCCTCTCCGCTCCCCACCCCCCCCGCCCCGTCCCCCCCGCCCTCTCTCCGTTCCCCCAGTGTGTGGAGCTCACTCTCCGCTTCCTCCCCCTGCACTGGTGTGGTAGCGTGGAGGCAGGAGGAAAACCCTCGGTTTTGACAATGACTGTATTGCCCTTTTTCCCGCCCCCTTGCAGCTCCCCCCTGTCCGCTCCCCCAGTGTGCGGAATCCACTCTCCGCCTGGTTGCGCAGACGCACCAAGAAGAGCCTCAGTAACTCAGTTGAGCCAGTGCCGAAATCCTCCTCCCCCCCCTCCCTACGTCTGCTCCCCCAGTGTGCGGAATCCACTCTCCGCTCCTTCCCCCTGCACTGGCGCTGGTTGCGCAGATGCACCAAGAAGAGCCTCAGTAACTCAGTTGAGCCAGTGCCGAAATCCTCCTCCCCCCCCTCCCTACGTCTGCTCCCCCAGTGTGTGGAATTCACTCTCCGCTCCTTCCCCCTGCACTGGCGCTGGTTGCGCGAAGGCAGGCGGGGGAGCCTCAAGTGGAAGCGGAGGGGGGAGGGAGCGGAAGGCGCTACTAAAGGGGGCGGCAGCGCCCCAGGCGAATGTGCTGCAAACGGGGGAGGTGGAGCATCAGATAGTGGAGGGGCGAGAGGGGTGGAAGGGGGGGGGAGCGAGGGGAGAAGGAGAGGCGGAGGGGAACAGGGGGTGGCGACGACTGGAGTTTCATGCAGCGTGGGGTGAGTGAGGAGCAAGGGGGAGAGGGGGATAGGAAAAAGAAAGAATGGGTGTTTAGAGTCGGTTGGAGGGAGGGTGCACAGGGATGAGGAGGAATGGAGCTGCTTGGGTTTTGAGGCACCTCTAACAGCTTCCTTCCTCTGCTCTCGTCCCCTCTGCTTCCGTTTTGCACCAATCCTTTGCTCCAGGTATCTCCAAATCCATACCACGTGCTTCAATTCCCGTCTGGAGCACCTTCGTTTGCTGCCTAATAAATCAGCCCCCAAAAGGTCAGTCTTGCGAGCATGGGACCCCATTCCCCGTTGTTTTTTCCCCCGTTTTTGTGGTCCTTTCGCACAGCTTCTGTTGCCTCTTCTTCTTTTTTCTCGACAATGTTAACAAAACGAACGATAAAAAAAACTGATATTATTTATTTTTATTTCTTCCCCATTCTAGGCTTCTTCGAGCGTGGTTCACCTGTGGAGTCGTCGCAGCATGCTTTGTCTTCGTATTCGCCTCTCTGGTGCGTCCATGGTCCATCCACCACTCTATACCTTAGTTCAACATGTTTCAAGCCCCTCAAGGTGGTTCACCTGTGGAGTTATCGCAGCATGCATTGTCTTCCTACTGGCCTCTCTGGTGCGTCTATCACTCTGCTCTATACCCTAGTCTATCATTCTTTGAAACTCCTCAAAGTGGTTCGTAGCTTGATTTGCTGAGTGCCTCAATATGTGGTGCTGTTGCGCCGTTGCTGGAGGTGTTGCAGCAGGCATCGCCTCTCTCTTGTGTTACTCTTGACCTGCCTGGAGCGTAGTTTTGAGGCGCCTCAAAACTAGACTTCTATCATCGCCTCTCTCTTGTGTTTCTCTTGACCTGCCTGGAGCGACCATCACCCACAGGTGGTACCAACTCACTCCCTCTATGCACCTTTCTCATCTCCTTCGGATCTCCTTCGGATCTCCTTCGGATCTCCTTCTCATCTCCTTCTCATCTCCTTCTGATCTCCTTCTCATCTCCTTCTCATCTCATTCTCATCTCCTTCTCATCTCCTTCTCATCTCCTTCTCATCTCCTTCTCATCTCCTTCTCATCTCCTTCTCATCTCCTTCTCATCTCCTTCTCATCTCCTTCTCATCTCCTTCTGATCCCTCCCGCCTCTTTTTCTCTTTCCCAGGGGCTTCTACGGGACAGCCTTGTTGCGTCTCTCCCCGTCCCTCTCTGCCTTTTTGCGTCTCTCAACGCCAGTGCAGCACCAAGGAGAGCAATCTATTGACAGTCTCAGTCACATTCTCCAAATGATAGGAGAGTGTGACTGTCAATTGGCTCTCGGTTGATAGATCCTCTGTCCCTCCCTCCGTCCTCCGCAGGTGCTTCTATGGGACGGCCTTGTTGCTTCTCTCCTCGTCCCTCTCTGCCTTGTTGCGTCTCTCCCCGTCCCTCTCTGCCTTGTTGCCTCTCTCAACGCCAGTGCAGCACCAAGGAGAGCAATCTATTGACAGTCTCAGTCACATTCTCCAAATGATAGGAGAGTGTGACTGTCAATTGGCTCTCGGTTGATAGATCCTCTGTCCCTCCCTCCGTCCTCCGCAGGTGCTTCTATGGGACGGCCTTGTTGCTTCTCTCCTCGTCCCTCTCTGCCACTACCTCTCACGCCAACCGCATCACCAAGAAGAGCAGCCTCCATACTCTCTCAGTCAAAATCAACACAGCCAGAGCCGCTACAGCCACAGCCCCTCTTTCGATACCTCCACTCCCCCTGTCAATCCGCTGATAGTGAATGCTTCTGTCGCACAAGCCATAGATCCCTATGGTTCCCCTGTAGCAGCACGAGCTCGCTATGCCACAACCCCGGCCTCTCTTCACGTGCTGCAGCCTGTGGTGAGTGAGTCTCTGTCAAGGACTGGTGAGTAGTGCGGCATTTCCATCGCATTCCGTCTCCTACCAAGTGCATGTGTGCGAGTCTAAGCCAGAGGACTATGCCGCACAGAAGTCTCCCCGTCCGATTCTCGCTCCTCCCTCCTCTCTCCCCACCTGCCCCACTCTCCCCACCCGCCCCACTCCCCACGTGGAGCAACAGCTGCCAGGTATCAACATGCCATTAGCTGATCTCAGCTACCTCTTCATCGCCACTCTCATCAGCCTAGCGTGGCATGAGGCGGGCCATGCCGTGGCAGCCGCTGTGTGAGTGTAAGTCTGTGTGTGGGTGAAGTCTGTGTGTGAGTGTAAGTCTGTGTTTGAGTCTAAGTCTGTGTGTGAGTGTAAGTCTGTGTGTGAGTGTAAGTCTGTGTGTGTGTCAGGAGGGGAGTGTGTGCATGCGTGCGTATGTGTGTCTCGCCTACCTCTTTATTACCACGCTCATCAGCCTAGCGTGGCGTGAGGCGGGCCACGCTGTGGCAGCTGCCGTGTGAGTGTAAATGCTGAGTCTAGGTATGCATAAGGCGTGTGCCTGGGTGTGTGCTCTCGTCTCGTCTACCTCTTTATTGCCTCTTCTACCAAGTGCATGTGTGCGAGTCTAAGTCAGAGGACTGCAGGTGAATGAAATTATGGGTCCAAGTGCATGTGTGCGAGTCTAAGTCAGAGGACTGCAGGTGAATGAAATTATGGGTCCAAGTGCATGTGTGCGAGTCTAAGTCAGAGGACTGCAGGTGAATGAAATTATGGGTCCAAGTGCATGTGTGCGAGTCTAAGTCAGAGGACTGCAGGTGAATGAAATTATGGGTCCAAGTGCATGTGTGCGAGTCTAAGTCAGAGGACTGCAGGTGAATGAAATTATGGGTCCAAGTGCATGTGTGCGAGTCTAAGTCAGAGGAGGTGTATGAATCATGAGTCCAAGTGCATACTTTTAAGGCGCCTCAAAATTAGTGGCATGAGCCATGCGGGCGTGGTATGAGGCGTGCCATGCTGTAGCAGCAGCCGCAGTGTGAGTGTATTTTGAGCCGACTCAGAATACACCTGTAAGTGCGTCACCAGGTGGGTGTTGCAGTGCAGGTGTAATTCTTTTATTTCTCTCCATCTCCCCATCCCTCCATCTCCCCATGTCCCCATGTCCCCATGCCCCCACCTCCCTCTCTCTCCATCTCCCCATGCCCCCACCTCCCTCTCTCTCCATCTCCCCATGCCCCCACCTCCCTCTCTCTCCATCTCCCCATCTCCTGCCTCCCCTGTCCCCCTCAACCAGCCCCCCCCCCCCCAACCCCTGCTTCTATGCTTTCCACAGCGAGGGTGTCAGAGTGCAGCACGTGGCATGCTTTCTCCTCGGCCTCCTCCTCCCCGGCGCACACGTCGCCTTCGATCCCAGCGATTACAACTCCCTCCCTCCTGCTCGGCTCTTGAGAATACTTTCTGCTGGCATCTGGCACAATATTGTGGTGAGTCTAGTGTGAGTTGGTGGGTGCAACACTACTGTGCCGCACATTCCTCTCCTCCTCCAAGGCGCACACGTCGGCTTCCCATCCCAGCGATTACAACTCCCTCCCTCCTGCGCGGCGGCTTAGGATTCTCTCTGCTGGCATCTGGCACAACGTAGGGGTGAGTGCAAGGCCATGTTGGGTGGTGCACCATGTAACCCTTTAAGTTAGGTTTTTGAGAACTCTCAAAAACCATGTTGGGTGGTGCACCATGTAACCCTTTAAGTTAGGTTTTTGAGAATTATAAAAAACCATGTTGGGTGGTGCACCATGTAACCCTTTAAGTTAGGTTTTTGAGAATTCTCAAAAACCATGTTGGGTGGTGCACCATGTAACCCTTAAAGTTAGGTTTTTGAGAATTCTCAAAAACCATGTTGGGTGGTGCACCATGTAACCCTCTTGTTTAGCATGTGGCCTTCCACACCAATGACTTCCACTCCCTGCCTCAATACGTCCTTGTATTAGGTAGGTGGCAAGTTACAGCCATGGCAGGTAAGAGAGAGATACAGCAACAGTCAACAGCCCACACCCTGCTCAGAGTACTCTCTGCAGACGTCTGGCACAACAACGTAGTGGTGGGTTGACACAGCAATTTCACCCACCAATCCCTCCCTCCAACCACCCACCCCTGCACCAACACTCCCTTTTGAGTCGCCTCAAAAGCACGACATAGGGGTGCATTCCGCATGGTGGTGAGTACAGAGGCTTGGCAATGTACTGGTGGGTTGGCACGGAAATTTCACCCACCTATCCCTCCCTCCCTCCACCCACGCAGCCCCATTCCAACCGCCTCTTCCTCGGTGAACTCGTCAACGAAGATGGGGACGACGGGTGGCGCACCGGTCCCACCCGTCGTCCTCATCTTCCCTTCCAAATCGACCCTTCCTCATCCTCCTCGCTCCCCTCCCCCCATTTCCCCCCCCCACCACTCCCTCCCTCTCCCCCCCCCCTCCTCCTCACTCATGCAGCTATCCCTATTCGCTCTGCTGCTCCTCTCCTCGCCTCTCCAGGCAGCCCTCTTCCTTCCACTCTACTCCCAGGCTCACCCAGGCCTCAAGGTAAGTCTCTCTCTGGGATCCATTTGCTAGTTTTGAGGCGCCTCAAAACTATACTCCCAGGCTCACCCAGGCCTCGAGGTAAGTCTCTCTCTGGGATCCATTCGCTCCCTTCCTTTGCAATCAGCCAGCTCACCCTGCCACTCCTCTCCTCACCTCTCCAGGCAACCCTCTTTCTTCCACTCTCCTGTCATCAGTGTAGAAAAGTAGACTCGATGTGCATAGCTGTAAGATGCACAAGTTGGAGATGGTGAAGATAGGTTCCAAGAGGAGCCCTAGAAAGCGAAGAGAAAGTAGTGAATAGAGCTGACAAAGACATTGGGCTAAGTAGGCCTAGATTGTGAAGAAGAGAGAGATGGAGACGTGCTGGGCGACTTGGGCTGGTCCAGGTGAGGAGAATGGCACCCAAGACACTTGGGGTGCCCAAGCGGGTGCTCAAGTCGCCCAAACGGGTGCTCAAGTCAAGGTGGGGGAGTGAGGAACCCTCAAAGTGGGCCTGGAAGCGCCCCCACTAGTTGAACCGCGATTCCACAAGTTGGATTCGTGGTTCCACAAGCTGCTGGAGCCGCGTTTTCATGGTTGAGAAACGTGGGTCCAGGTTTGAGCCGCGTCCCAAATGTTGGGATGCGTGGTGAGGTACCCCACTTCGGATTTTGGGGTGCCTAGCCCTTGATAAAATCACTTGGGGCCAACCTATTCCTAATATAACCCCAACCCCTAATGTCTACACCTAATATAATGTAAAACATTACACATAACAGAGAAATGTACTACGTTAACTGCATCCCAGATAAAAGCCCGAAAACAATACTCAAGAACAATGATCCACTCTGGCCTTCCCACTGCTCCGTACTTCTCCTGTGCACACTCTTCTCTTCCTATCCAGGTGACATCCGTGCATCCATACTCCCCTCTTTACAGCCACATTCGCCCGGGAGACACCCTACTAGCACTAGACCACAATCCCCTCTCGTCTCCTGCGGTCTACTCTCACCTCCTCTCCCGCCTCTCTCACCTCTCCCACCGCAGTCACCTATCTCACCTCTCCCACAATGACAACCACCCTCCACTGCCATCCAATTTCTCCCTACCCTCGGACCCTCCGCCCTCCACTATTTACCATCCTGCAACCACACTGTTCCCTCTGTTGGACAATCTTCCCTTCAGAGGATATTGCGTTCCCCTTTCAGCCAATCACAGTCTGCCACCTGGAATTCTTAGTTCACCCTTTCCGCCCAATGATAGGCCGCCACCATTGCCTTTAACCACTCCAACTCCCAGCTCTTTCCTGGAACCTTCCCACCACCACCGCCATCATTCCAACCTGGAGCCACCGCCACCATCAGCACTCTCCTGTGAGGACTCGTTTCCTGGAACCATCCTTTTCCGGTGGGCTCCAGCTGGCGATGCGGAACCTTCCTTGCAGGTTCCTGCAGCTGGATGGCAGCACCGGCAGCAGGAAGCTTCCATGCAGCTCTCAGGACATGGAGCCCAGCAGCAGGAAGCTCCTCGGAGGGTTCCTTCCACGGCTTGCCTGCGGCCTCGGGATGTGGTGGAGGGAGGGAGGAGGTGTGGGTGGGGGTTGATCGAGGATGGTTTTGAGGCGCACCAAAATTGGATGGAGGATGGTGGGAAAGGCACGAGGAATGAGGAGCACCGGCGATGTGATCAGGTAAGAAAACGCTCAGGAATGGAAGGTGTGGGAAGCTTCTCTGGTGATTCCTTCCTACCATGGCATGCCTGCTGGATGGTGGAGGTAGGGAGTACCTGCAGGTGCGGGTATGGCAGTGTAGAAGTGTATGGGCAATCACAGAAACGATATGGGCAATCCCAGAAACCATTGACAGCAGGAAACCACAGCATGCAAGACTTCCCCTGATTCTTATTCTGTTCCTCCTTTCCGATATCCATCTCATTTCTCCTATTTCTGTTATTCTGTACTCCCGCTCTCCATGGATCCATCTGCATGACTCCTGCCCTTCCACGTCAGCATCTGTGAGGAGTCTATTTTTTAGGCGCCTCAAAAATATGGCTCCATCTGCACGACTCCTGCCCTTCCACGTCAGCATCTCCTACTCCTCATGAAGTTTCAGCCCTCCTATGTTTCTTCCGATGTCATTTCCTCCCCTGATGTCTGTCTCTTATTTCTCGCACCCGGTTCCCACTCCCAACTCTCCAGGACTCCACCTGCATGGCCCCTGTCCTTCCACGTCACCATCTGCTGCTCCATGTACATTTTCTCTCCTCCTTCTCTTCCTCCTCTTTCATTTCTTCGCCGCCCTCCTCCGCTTTCTCTCCTTCCTCCTCCTCTCCCTCCTCTCCCTCCTCTCCGACTTCTCTGGTGTTTGTGGGTACCATCGAGTCCTTTGCCCGAGGCCTTTCTCTCTCCCCCTGGCACCCCCGCACACTCACACTCCCTCTCACTCTGCCTAATCCTACACGCGCACGTGCGTCCTCGCACACACCTACTCACGCGGCGCATCCCAGGAGATGGCTGCGGGCTATAAGGCTACCCGCTTCTGCAAGCATGATTGGCAGAGAGCAGCTGCTGCAGAAACAGCAGGCCCTGCAGCATCAGCAGCACGAGCAGGAGCAGCAGCAGCAGCAGGAGCAGGAGCAAGAGCAGGAGCAGGAGCAGGAGCAGGAGCAAGAGCAGGAGCAGGAGGATATAGAAGAAGAGCGTCGTAACCAGTCATCACTGTTACCAGCATCGCCATCATCGGTGCTTCAATTTTCAGCACCGTTATGGGGGCCTATGGTGGTGACACGTGCCATTCTCTTTGTCGTCCACGTGTCCAATGCTCTCGCCCTCATCAATGCTGCCCCTGTGAGTATAAAAATAAAAAATTACTTGGAAAAAAATATGATCAGGGTGTAGTAGATTCCCTTTTGTGCCTTTTTTGAATAATTCAATTCCAGGGTGTAGTGGGTTCCTTTTTGTGGCTCTTTCAAGTATCAAATCTGAGATATCAGTATTCAATTGTTAAGTGTTGCCCATGTACTCGCCTTGAAATTACGTTTCATATCATTAACTGTTCTCCTACTTGTGTTCTTGCCACTATCCTCCTTATAGTGCTTCCTCTCATTCACGCTTCATGCCTTTGGCCCTTCTCCTCGTTTAGGGTTGTTTTCTCGTCATTGCAATTCCCCTGGCTAACCTTATTGCATCCAATGCACCTGTTTCACCCTCCTCTTCTCTCTCCAGATCTTCTTCCTCGATGGGGAGGCCATTCTTTCCAACCTGCTCCGCCTGCTTCTCCCATTTCCCTCGTATCCTCTCCCCTCGCATCTCAACCTCCGACACCAGCACCAGATAGCTCTCCATCATCGTACACTTCGCACTCTACTCTATGGGGGCTCTCTTCTTCTCGCCATATCCATGCTTTCCTCTGCGGTGTTTTCTCGTTAAGGATCCAATGTTGAACAAGTTATGATGTGGATGTGCCTAATCTGGTGATCTCTATTTGCGGATTGGCTAGTCAATAATTCAAAACAGTACCCTAACAGGCCGCCGGACAATCGGATCCGCCATTAACGCCTACCTGCTTTGGCCTAACCTATGACATGCACCGCAAGCTCCGCCATGCTGGGACGGCGCCCGATCTAACCATTCAGCTTCTCCCATCGACGGTTACTCATGCCTCTCGCTATACGCGCACCGCGTTTTTGGCTCCCTCGAAGACGGGACTTGTTTTCGGTTAGCTCGCCGCAATCAGCAGCGCCAACTGTGGACGGAAAAGCACTGGGATTGGCTGGGCTCGTCTGGCTCCCCTTGATATTGCCGTCAGCTCGTCAAATTCGATGCTTGTCTTGATGCGGGTCATCACATCTCACCCACCTCCTTGGCCTTCCGTTCACTTCTGGTTCATTCTGTTTCAGTTCCGCTCAAAATCTTACTTTCCAGAAGATCATCCTTCCATTTTAGCACTGTCAGTCAGTTACCGTCAAACTGGCGAAGCCTGTTTGCATTTTTTAGCTGAGAATTTTGAGATAAGCGAGTAGTGAAATTGACTTGAGAGAGCGCCCATTGTTACTGCACCTGGCAGTTATTGAGCTCAAAATATTGAGCAGGCAGCCATTGATCTAGTCTAGGCGTTTTCTCGGGCATAACTTGTGCTAGAGTAGGACTGTCACAGCTCGTTCTCTTCAGGTCTGCAGCTAGAAATACCGCAGGAATTTCCCAAGTAGCTATCCACAAAGCTTTTCTACTTCTCGCCTTTATTTCTTTCCCGATAGTACGACACAAAAACCCGTCGCTGTTGACTCGGCCGCAATACCGTGTTGCGTGCGACACGCTTCAAGCACACGTGCGTGTTGTATTCTGTTGATTCGTAGCTCTCCCAGGCATCTTCACCCATCCAGAAACGCTCGGCCTCCGCAACCCTCCGTCCTCCTCCATTTTTGAGGCGCCTAAAAATTAGACTGCCTTTTTTCTGCCGTTTAGCTCTCGCCGGCATGCCTCAGCCGTCCAGAAACGCTCGGCCTCCGCAACCCTTCCTTCTCTTACCCCTCGTCTTCATTTTCGTCCTCTCGTTACTGTCACAATCTTCCGTTACCATAGCCCGCTCCGTCCCGCGAAACCTCCACTTAGTGTGCGAGCCGGGATGCCTGCACAACGGCACGTGCAAGCTGAGCCCGAAGATCAAGGAACCCGAGTGCGAATGCCAGCCGTACGATCGCGACACCGGGCTGTACTTCCGCGGGAAATCGTGTCAAACGGAGGCCGTCCGATGCAACGCCACGTGGTGGTGCGAGAACGGCGGGAAATGCGTCGCGATGGGCGCGCAGGGGTTCCTCTGCTCATGTCCGCACAAGTTTCAGGTGCGCCCCTTCTAGGCGTTCCTATGTCTTCTATAGTGGACTTCTTACTCGGGAAGTGCGTCGTGATGGGCGCTTAGGGGTTCTCCTGTTCATGTCCGCATGAATCTCAGGTAAGCCGTAGAAAGACACATGAAAAGGGGACTCTATATTTCGCTGCTCATGTCCGCACAAGTCCCAGGTGCGTGTTACATGCTGGTAACACTTGCAAGGTAAGAATTCGCAAGCTCCAGGTAATTCTTGAGGCACCTCAGTTTTCTGTTCGTGCCACACAAGTTCCGCTAGGGTTTGAGGCAAATTAGCTTTTGAGTCGACTCAAAAGTCACCTTTTTGTTAAACGGAGGCCGTCTGATGCAACATGGAGTGCCGCACAAGTTCCACTAGGGTGGATGTAGAGGAAGTGCTCACTGCTTTTCCCCTGTCACTGCTTCCCCCCTGTTCTCCTGCTCCCTTCCTCCAGGGCTCCAAGTGCCAGACGCCGGTCGTTGCCTGTGGCACGGGCCTCTGGTGCGCTAACGGCGGCGTGTGTGTGTTTTCAGAGGAGGCCAACGCCACCATCTGCAAGTGCCCTTCCACTCACACCGGCGCCAGCTGCCAAACCCTAGTGGAGCCTCAAGACTTTGGTAAGTATGGATCATCATAACGAGTTTAATATGTTAGAGGAAGCCGACGCCACCATCTGCAAATGCCCCTCCTCCACCCACACCGGCGTGAGCTGCCAAACCCTAGTGGAGCCGCAGGACTTTGGTGATTGTAACGAGTGTGACTCTAACGGGTATGGTACTGGTAGTAGGAGTGTGCGTGCTCTCAGAGGAAGCCAACGCCACCATCTGCAAGTGCCGCTCCACCCACACCGGCGCCAGCTGTCAAATCCTAGTGGAGCCACAGGACTTGTGTGTTTGGATGACAATAACGAGTATGGTTCTTTCCAGCGTCACCATCTGCCAGTGCCCCTCCTCGAGTCCTCTCACATTGGCTCGGGTTGTCACACGTCAATGTTTACCACTCACCGTACGTACCAGGGGCACTCCGACTTGTTTACAGCTCACAGTTCTTACCTCCAACCATTTCCACCCCTTCCACCCTGACCCCTCCCCCCTCCCCTCCCCACCTTCTACACTCTCAAGGCCCATGGGAGCAGCGTCAGTCCAACTTCACCTCGCCTCTCATTGTCCCTTGGAATTCAACCTTAGCCTTTCTGGTCGACGAGCGCGACAAGTACTTCCACACCACCTTCGCTCTCCTCGGCGCGCTGGTCTTCGTGTGGGTGGTGTCGCTCTGCATCGTCTACCACTCGCACGAGTGCAGGAGGAGCAGCAGGCCCATTCACCCTGGGTGCCACTGTCTTCAACCTCTTCCCCCCCCCCCCTTTCCCCCCCCCTTTCCCCCCCTGATTCGCCCATCCGTTCGCCCTGCAGACCCATTGGAGCAGTGCTACTCCAACTTAACCGTGCCTCTCATTGCGCCTTCCAACTCTACCCTCCATCCGGTCGCCCTGCAGGCCCATCGGAGCAGTGCTACTCCAACTTAACCTTGCCTCTCATTGCGCCTTCCAACTCTACCCTCCATCCGTTCGCCCTGCAGGCCCATCGGAGCAGCTCCGAACGAACTTCACCTCGCCCCTCATCATTCCCTCCAACTCCACCCTCGACTTTCTGGTCGACGAGCGCGACAAGTACTTCCACACCTTCTTCGCGCTCCTGGGCGCGCTGGTCTTCGTGTGGGTGGTGTCGCTCTGCTTCGTCTACCACTCGCACGAGCGCAGGCGAGCCGGCAGGGCCATTGCTGTGGTTGGGGTGCTGGAAGCACCCCCTCCTTCCCGACTGGACAAGCAGCAGCAGAGGCAGCAGCAGCAGAAGCCGCTGAAGCACAAAAAGAAGCAGCAGCAGCAGCAGAATGGGAAGGTAAATACTCAGGAGGATGAGCAGCAAAAGCACCTGCACCAGAAGCACCTATCCGGGGAGGATCTAGGCTCATCTGAAGCCCCCTTGGTCACCACTTCCTCTTGCTCCTCTGCTGGTCTCACTGCTGTGCCCATTCGCCGGAATCCCAGCAGTGGGGTCAATTCAAGTGTCACAGGTATTGCCGCTGGCAGCAGTAGCAGCAGTAGCACCAGCTTTGGTGGTGGTGGTAGTGGTGGTGGTTCCTATGGGGGTCATATGTTAGGCTCTCACAACTTTCAGCATCATCATCAGCAGCAGCAGCAGCATGGTTCTGGTTATGTGCCTCCCGAAATTATGCAGGATGTGGGAAATGAAAGTGGTGGGGATAGGAGGGGAGGGTACAGTAGCGGTGCAGTCAGCAGTGCAACAGATGCAGAGGTGGCGGCGCTCTTTGCAGTGCCACAAGATTCACCATCTATTGCTTCACCGTCTACCGCTTGCCCAGCTGCCGTCCTCCCAGCTGTGGCAGAAGCAACTGCAGGGGATGCTTCTGGAGAAAATGCAGCAGCAGGAGCAGCAGCTGTAGATCTTGAAAATAATTCACAAGCTCTGCTATTGAGCTCACTCTCCTCGCTCATTCGAGCAGTAGATTCGGGCAGCCAAATGGGCGGCTCGGATTCCAAGTCAGAGGTACTATCAGTGGTGATGGATTCGCTGCCAGGGGGCGGAGTGGAGGAGGACGATATGGCCGAGGAGCTGCTGTGCAGGGGTGAGGAGAGCAGTGGTGGTGGGATGATCAAGAGTTCAAGAAGAAAACGAGCAGGTACAGGGGACGATGTTAGGCTTCTGTTTTGAACTACAATGGTTTACACCTTGAACGACTTAATTTGATATTTAATATGAAATACAGTAAGACGTCAATTTGCTCAACTGCCTTGTGAGATGGTTAGGTGCATAGGGATGCCGTGTGGTTGGGCTAGTTGGTGAATTGTGGTATGATGAGTCATGACGCTCTCACCACTGTTGTAAATGTGTACACCGCGGAATAACTAAACTCACGCAGCTCACGTAACACTCTGGTAACAGGTTTGGAGTTTTGGGTTTGGCGAAGCTCGCCAGGAACGAGGAAAACGAGCAAGCAGTCAGAACCCAGCTATGTCAGAAAAATACCCCGAACCGCCACCCGAACCAAACCAGACTCCCTCAAAGATTGCCGCGCAGCCAGGCAGAGCCCAACAACTGCCTGCCATGCTTGCCTTGGGTTTGTCCCGAGCCGACCAACCACCAGCTTCCATCCTGCCAGCAGGCCGTCAAGACGTGAATCGTGTGATCTCAAAGCGACGTCGTCAGACATTAGACGTAACAGCGCGCTGCACAGCGTTTTTCCATGGTTTAAACGTTTTTAGTACGTTTCAATACGATGATATCAGGTCAGGGAGTCCATCATGAGGAGGACACCACATCACACCAATCAACGTTCTCAACAAACATATTTTTTCTCACGAGATTCCAGATTACAGTCTGACGAAGCAGGACGAGGTTCTGTACTCGCCGTGTTTTGCGGAACTGTTCCAGTCTTCCCCCGCCAACTGCGCTAAACTCTTTTCCATTCCCTTTGCGAGAAGGTGGCCCGTGAGTTAGCGACTTTCTCGGCGTCGATTCGGCGCAGCTTGCTCGCATTTCTTATTTCGTTCATAGCAATTTCAACGGAAATATATCTACCAGTCTTCGTGAACAACAACGCCAAATCTCTCCCATTTTTTAGTTCTACTGTAGGCTAGCGTGTGCTGATGCACACCTGCGTACTGCGATTTCGTTTTGTCTCGTATTCAGCGATTCGTAAATAGCTCGGCTAGCGATTTGCCTCTGCCATCTCGAAAGTAGCGCGAAACTTACTGCATAGGTTAGATATCGGCCTCTCATCCAGGCACAAGCGTTTGGCCGGCTTTGGGCTTGCAAGCTCGTCCATTCTAAAGGTGTCCTGTCCGGTCTGCTGACTCACGGCTTGGATAAGATATCTGACGCGTCGCGTCTACGGACTCACGGCTTGGATAAGGAATCGGACGTGTCGCATCTGCTGACTCAGCGCTTAGATAAGATATCTGACGTGTCGCGTCTTCTGACTCACGGTTGTGGATAAGATATCTGACGTGTCGCGTCTGCTGACTCACGGCTGTTGATTATGGAGCAGAATATCCTATCAGGGCTCGACCACAGCCTGCGATCTTCCTCCCAGTTTAATAATCCCGCCCAGTTCAACAATCCTTCACAGTTCAATAATCCTGTAAATTCCATGCACTCGGGAATGGCCGACCCGATGAGTCAGTTCGGAATGCCGAACCAGGCCGGGCAGTTCGGAATGCCGAACCAAACCGGGCAGTTCGGGATGCCGAACCATACCGGACAGTACGGAATGGCGAGTCTCAACGGACATCCGGGACTGGCAGATCCCTCAAGGCAGCTCGGATCGGGAGACCCCACGAGGCTGTCCGGCTCCCCGGATCCCGCCAAGCAGCGAGCAATGTCTGTTCAAATGGAGGCGTGGGGCTCCTCCGCCCAACGGGTACGCAATGCCGAATGATCCGCAACTCGTTTTTCACCCACGGGACATTAGGGTTGGGGCTGCTTTTGAGTCGACTCTAAAGCTCCTCCGCCCAACGGGTACGCCATGACTCCGAGTAATCCGCAAAGCGTTTTTCACCCACGGGACACCCGGGTTGGAGAGATCCCACGAGGCTGTCCCGCCCAGCGGGTATGTTATCTGAGTCGACTCGTGATGCATCTGACTCATAACACATGCTGCACTCGGGAGACCCCGCGAGGCTGTCTGGCTACCCGGATCCCGCGAGGCAACGAGCGGCATCCGTTCAAATGGAGGCGTGGGGCTCGGCCGCCCAACGGGTAAGTTTTCATTCATTAGCCGTTTGAAAAAGCACCTGGCCCCGTAAGGCTGCGGGCGTTGGCTGATCATAAACCTCCTTCTCCTTGCCCATCCCTCTCTCCCTCCCACCCCGCTTTCTCCCCCCCCCTCTCCCCCCCCTCCCCCCTCCCCCCCCACCGCCAAACTCCAGAACCCGGAGCGCGCAGCCAAGGACCTGCAGCTGAAGGCGACGGAGACGAGTCTGCGCACTGAGGAGGAGCTGCGGCGGATGCTGCGCTCCTTCAAACCCCCATCCCTTACCTCAATCATCCGTCCCCGCCCCCCCCCTCCCCCCTTCCCCCTATCCCCCACTTACTGCGACCAGAACCAGTCTGCACCCCCGGTTACCGCACCCCCTATGTCGGAGCAACTCACTCAAGTCCCACTGGACAACCCGGAGAGCCAGGAGCGCGCAGCCAAGGACCAGCAGCTGAAGGCGACGGAGACGAGTCTGCGCACCAAGGAGGAGGAGCTGCGGCGCATGCAGGAGGCGGTGGAGAAGCGTGTGGCGCAGCAGGTGACGCGTGTGGAGCAGGAGGCGACCAAGCTGCAGCAGCTGAGGAAGGTAGGTGAAGGGATAGGGGTGGGGGCGTTTGAGTGTTGTAGCGGAAGTGCCGAATTGCCTCACACCGATCGCAGCAGGTGACGCGCGTGGAGCAGGAAGGCAATAAGCTGCAGCAGCTGCGGAAGGTACGTGGAGGGATACGGGGGAGGCAAGTGAGTGTAGTAGGGGGGGTGGTGAGTCCCCTCACACCGATCGCAGCAACTGACACCTGACACGCGGGGATCAGGAGGCAAACAAGCTGCAGCAGCTGGGGAAAGTAGGGTCGATAAGGGGGGGGGATGAGGAGAGTAGGGTCCCTAAGGGGGGGGGATGAGGAGAGTAGGGTCGATAAGGGGGGGGGATGAGGAGAGTAGGGTCCCTAAGGGGGTGGGATGAGGAGAGTAGGGTCCATAAGGGGGAGGGATGAGGAGAGTAGGGTCCATAAGGTGGGGGGATGAGGAGAGTAGGGTTCCTAAGGGGGGGGGATGAGGAGAGTAGGGTCCCTAAGGGGGGGGGATGAGGAGAGTAGGGTCCATAAGGGGGGGGGGATGATGAAGGTAGGGGAGGCATGTGTTGAACGTGGGGGCAGGAGACGCGGGGGGAGCATGAGGCGACCAAGCTGCAGCAGGTGCGGAAGGTAAGGGGAGGAGGTGAGGGAGACAAGGGGGTGTCAGGTACGGGAAGAAGGGGCCGGAGCCCCAAATGCCGCAGCAGGTGACCCCCCTTCCGTCACATCCCCTCCCCCTCTCCCCTTCCCCGCATAGCCATCAGGAGCTGGCCACATCAGAAGACCCCTCCAAGAAGGAGGTGGCGGATGGGACTTCCCTCGTGGGCGCTGCCCTCGTGGTCTCTAACCGCCTTCCCTCACATCCCCTCCCCCTCTCCCCGTCCCCGCATAGCCATCAAGAGCTGGTCACAACAGAAGACCCCTCCAAGAAGGAGGTGGCGGGTAGCTTCCCACCCGTATTTCTCCTCCTCTCTCCCCCCCTCCATCCCCCCCTGCCATCAGGAGCTGGACACAATAGAGGGCCCCCAACCAAGAAGGAGGTGGTTGGTTGCTCTACCAGGAAGAAGGGTGCTGCCCTCGTGGTCTCTAACCGCCTTCCTTCATATCCCCTCCCCTTCCCCACCCTTCTCTGGCATATTCTTCAGGAGATGAACGCAATAGAGGGCCCGACCAAGAAGGAGGTGGCGGATAATTTCCCACGCGTGTTTCTCCTCAACTCAAGCCCCCTCCCTCCCTCCCCTCCTTTGCCTCCAGTAGCTGGACACCATAGTGGACCCCACCAAGAAGGATGTGGCGGATGGTTTTGCCCTCTCCCCATTCGCCTCTCAACTCAACCCATCATCCCCCTTCCCCTCCCCCTCTCCGCCACCCCCCTCCATGACCAATAGGAGCTGGATACCATAGAGGACCCCACCAAGAAGGAGGTGGCAGATCTGCGGAAGCGGATAGAGCTGGTGGACAGGGAGCTCAGGCCCATGCGGACGCTGGTGGAGAGGAAGGTGAGATAAGGCTCACGCATGCCCTGGAAATGTGGGTGATTCATTCAAGGTGGGTTGACGTGCATCTGAGGAAGCGGATAGAGCCGGTGGATAGGGAGCTCAGGCCCATGCGGACGCTGGTGGAGAGGAGGGTGAGTTGTGACTGTTGGTGGGTTGAGGGCTCTACCCCCGTTAGTTGATGAGTCGGATTGGAGGAAGCGGATGTAGCTGGTGGACAGGGGGCTCAGGCCCATGCGGGCTCTGGCGGAGTGGAAGGTGGGCCACGGCCCATGGTAGGCCCAGGGAATCCCGGATGCTGTGCAGCGATGTGAGGAGGTGGGGATGTGAGGAGGTGGCGATGTGAGGTTGCGGATCGAGCTGGTGGACAGGGAGCTGAGGCTGGTTCTACCCATTCCTCATCATTTTAAGCGGATGTGAGGAAGCGGATAGAGCTGGTAGACAGAGAGCTGAGGCCGATGAGGGCTCTGGTGGAGAGGAGGGTGGGTTCTGAATGTGGGTGGTTCGGTGACTCTAACACATGAGTTGACGGGGATGTGAGTAAGCGAATAAAGGTGGTGGATAGAGAGCTGAGGTTCAGGGCGTGTTCCACGATGGGCAGGGGTTGTGACACGATGTCAGGCAACTTTGTGTCATTTGAGATTTTTCCAGTCGAATTTGCCCGTCAATAACAGTTTTGACAGTGGAAGTGTTGAGTGGAATTTGCCAGTCGAATTTAACCTTGTGTCATGTAGGAACAGGCCCTCATACTGGCTCTGGTGGAGAGGAATGTGCGTTGTGAACGTGGGTGGGTTGAGGGCTCTAACAGTTGAGTTGACAGGAATGTGAGGAAGCGAATAAAGCTGGTGGATAGAGAGTTGAGGCTCATACTGGGACTGGTGGAAAGGGAGGTGGGCTGATGCTGGCTGGCTGAACGCCTCTGCCCTTTTGATTCAATGCAAATGCTCCACCCGGTATTCATTCGTTGAAGCGGATCTGCTTTTGTGTCAACTCGAGCTCTATACATTGCTTATGAGTTGAAGCGGATCTGCTTTTAAGTCGACTCCAAAAGCCGGCTCTGGCGGAGAGGAAGGTGAGCTCATGCTGGCTGGCTGAACGCCTCTGCCCAGTTTTCGTGATTTGAAGCGGGTCTATGGAAGCGGATAGAGCTGCTAGACAGAGAGAGAGCTGAGAGCTGCGAGCTGAGAGCTGCGAGCTGAAAGCTGAGAGCTGAGAGCTGAGAGCTGAGAGCTGCGAGGTGAGAGCTGAGAGCTGAGAGCTGAGAGCTGAGAGCTGAGAGCTGAGAGCTGAGAGCTGAGAGCTGAGAGCTGAGAGCTGCGAGCTGCGAGCTGAGAGCTGAGAGCTGCGAGCTGCGAGCTGCGAGCTGCGAGCTGCGAGCTGCGAGCTGAGAGCTGAGAGCTGAGAGCTGAGAGCTGAGAGCTGAGAGCTGAGAGCTGAGAGCTGAGAGCTGAGAGCTGCGAGCTGAGAGCTGAGAGCTGAGAGCTGCGAGCTGAGAGCTGAGAGCTGAGAGCTGAGAACTGAAGGACGTGACCACAGCGTGCAACAACAAGAATGCTCAGAAGTCAGAGCTGGTTGCCGTGTAACCCCTAGGCCCGTGCCCCATCATTCCTGTACCGTGTGCCCATGCCCTGTGGTGTGCTGGCAGGAGAAGGAGCTGGAGGACGCAACCACAGCGTGCAACAACAAGAACGCTCAGAAGTCAGAGCTGGTTGCCGTGTAACCCCTAGGCCCGTGCCCCATCATTCCTGTACCGTGTGCCCATGCCCTGTGGTGTGCTGGCAGGAGAAGGAGCTGAAGGACGCAACCACAGCGTGCAACAACAAGAACGCTCAGAAGTCAGAGCTGGTTGCCGTGTAACCCCTAGGCCCGTGCCCCATCATTCCTGTACCGTGTGCCCATGCCCTGTGGTGTGCTGGCAGGAGAAGGAGCTGGAGGACGCAACCACAGCGTGCAACAACAAGAACGCTCAGAAGTCAGAGCTGGTTGCCGTGTAACCCCTAGGCCCGTGCCCCATCATTCCTGTACCGTGTGCCCATGCCCTGTGGTGTGCTGGCAGGAGAAGGAGCTGAAGGACGCGACCACGGCGTACAACAACAAGAACGCTCAGAAGTCAGAGCTGGTTGGCAAGTTGTTCGAGGTGGGTCTTGGGGTTGGGGAAGCATGGCTGAAGTGTCGCTGTGTCTTCTGGTGGAGTTGCATTGTTGGGCCCAAACCACTGCGCACACAAGCCAGAGCTGGTTGGCAAGTTGTTCGAGGTGGGTCTTGGGGTTGGGGAAGCATGGCTGATGTGTCGCTGTGTCTTCTGGTGGAGTTGCATTGTTGGGCCCAAACCACTGCGCACACAAGCCAGAGCTGGTTGGCAAGTTGTTCGAGGTGGGTCTTGGGGTTGGGGAAGCATGGCTGAAGTGTCGCTGTGTCTTCTGGTGGAGTTGCATTGTTGGGCCCAAACCACTGCGCACACAAGCCAGAGCTGGTTGGCAAGTTGTTCGAGGTGGGTCTTGGGGTTGGGGAAGCATGGCTGATGTGTCGCTGTGTCTTCTGGTGGAGTTGCATTGTTGGGCCCAAACCACTGCGCACACAAGCCAGAGCTGGTTGGCAAGTTGTTCGAGGTGGGTCTTGGGGTTGGGGAAGCATGGCTGAAGTGTCGCTGTGTCTTCTGGTGGAGTTGCATTGTTGGGCCCAAACCACTGCGCACACAAGCCAGAGCTGGTTGGCAAGTTGTTCGAGGTGGGTCTTGGGGTTGGGGAAGCATGGCTGATGTGTCGCTGTGTCTTCTGGTGGAGTTGCATTGTTGGGCCCAAACCACTGCGCACACAAGCCAGAGCTGGTTGGCAAGTTGTTCGAGGTGGGTCTTGGGGTTGGGGAAGCATGGCTGATGTGTCGCTGTGTCTTCTGGTGGAGTTGCATTGTTGGGCCCAAACCACTGCGCACACAAGCCAGAGCTGGTTGGCAAGTTGTTCGAGGTGGGTCTTGGGGTTGGGGAAGCATGGCTGATGTGTCGCTGTGTCTTCTGGTGGAGTTGCATTGTTGGGCCCAAACCACTGCGCACACAAGCCAGAGCTGGTTGGCAAGTTGTTCGAGGTGGGTCTTGGGGTTGGGGAAGCATGGCTGAAGTGTCGCTGTGTCTTCTGGTGGAGTTGCATTGTTGGGCCCAAACCACTGCGCACACAAGCCAGAGCTGGTTGGCAAGTTGTTCGAGGTGGGTCTTGGGGTTGGGGAAGCATGGCTGATGTGTCGCTGTGTCTTCTGGTGGAGTTGCATTGTTGGGCCCAAACCACTGCGCACACAAGCCAGAGCTGGTTGGCAAGTTGTTCGAGGTGGGTCTTGGGGTTGGGGAAGCATGGCTGATGTGTCGCTGTGTCTTCTGGTGGAGTTGCATTGTTGGGCCCAAACCACTGCGCACACAAGCCAGAGCTGGTTGGCAAGTTGTTCGAGGTGGGTCTTGGGGTTGGGGAAGCATGGCTGATGTGTCGCTGTGTCTTCTGGTGGAGTTGCATTGTTGGGCCCAAACCACTGCGCACACAAGCCAGAGCTGGTTGGCAAGTTGTTCGAGGTGGGTCTTGGGGTTGGGGAAGCATGGCTGATGTGTCGCTGTGTCTTCTGGTGGAGTTGCATTGTTGGGCCCAAACCACTGCGCACACAAGCCAGAGCTGGTTGGCAAGTTGTTCGAGGTGGGTCTTGGGGTTGGGGAAGCATGGCTGATGTGTCGCTGTGTCTTCTGGTGGAGTTGCATTGTTGGGCCCAAACCACTGCGCACACAAGCCAGAGCTGGTTGGCAAGTTGTTCGAGGTGGGTCTTGGGGTTGGGGAAGCATGGCTGAAGTGTCGCTGTGTCTTCTGGTGGAGTTGCATTGTTGGGCCCAAACCACTGCGCACACAAGCCAGAGCTGGTTGGCAAGTTGTTCGAGGTGGGTCTTGGGGTTGGGGAAGCATGGCTGATGTGTCGCTGTGTCTTCTGGTGGAGTTGCATTGTTGGGCCCAAACCACTGCGCACACAAGCCAGAGCTGGTTGGCAAGTTGTTCGAGGTGGGTCTTGGGGTTGGGGAAGCATGGCTGATGTGTCGCTGTGTCTTCTGGTGGAGTTGCATTGTTGGGCCCAAACCACTGCGCACACAAGCCAGAGCTGGTTGGCAAGTTGTTCGAGGTGGGTCTTGGGGTTGGGGAAGCATGGCTGATGTGTCGCTGTGTCTTCTGGTGGAGTTGCATTGTTGGGCCCAAACCACTGCGCACACAAGCCAGAGCTGGTTGGCAAGTTGTTCGAGGTGGGTCTTGGGGTTGGGGAAGCATGGCTGATGTGTCGCTGTGTCTTCTGGTGGAGTTGCATTGTTGGGCCCAAACCACTGCACACACAAGCCAGAGCTGGTTGGCAAGTTGTTCGAGGTGGGTCTTGGGGTTGGGGAAGCATGGCTGATGTGTCGCTGTGTCTTCTGGTGGAGTTGCATTGTTGGGCCCAAACCACTGCGCACACAAGCCAGAGCTGGTTGGCAAGTTGTTCGAGGTGGGTCTTGGGGTTGGGGAAGCATGGCTGATGTGTCGCTGTGTCTTCTGGTGGAGTTGCATTGTTGGGCCCAAACCACTGCGCACACAAGCCAGAGCTGGTTGGCAAGTTGTTCGAGGTGGGTCTTGGGGTTGGGGAAGCATGGCTGATGTGTCGCTGTGTCTTCTGGTGGAGTTGCATTGTTGGGCCCAAACCACTGCACACACAAGCCAGAGCTGGTTGGCAAGTTGTTCGAGGTGGGTCTTGGAGTTGGGGAAGCATGGCTGAAGTGTCGCTGTGTCTTCTGGTGGAGTTGCGTTGTCGGGCCCAAACCACTGCGCACACAAGTCAGGGCTGGCTGGGAAGCTTTTTGAGGTGAGTTACTTGAATTTGTAAACTGTGAGTGTGATGTTAGATAGGCAGAAGGCTTTTTGGGAGGTGGGATTACCATTTTTTAGGTGCCTCAAAAATAGACACCTCACGCATGAATTTGTCAACTGTGAGTGTGATGTCAGAAAGGCAGACGGCTGTTTCAGAGGTGAGATGATTCCTTTTGAGTCGACTCAGAAATCACCTTGGAGTTTGTAAACTCTGAGTGTGGTTTTTTATTCGGCTCAAAAGCAGGCTCAGGAATTACCTTTGAATGTGTAAACTGAGTGTGACGTTAGATAGGCCGTCTGTGAGGTGAGGTGATTCCTGAGTTGGCTCTGAAATCAACTTCGAGTCGGCCCAAAAATCACCGTGAGGTGCTTGTGATATGTGAGTGTGAGCGATGGGCAGAAGGCTGTTTGTGGGGTGAGTACTTGTACTTGATCAAGTGCCTCAGTACAGCTCCTCCCCCTCCCCCCTCCTCTTCCTACACTTTACCCCGTCCATCATAAAGAATGTGACGGAGAGATAGCAGCAATGGCTGGGAGCGATAGGTGCCTAAAACAGCTTCCTCACCCTCCTCCTCCCCCCCTCCCCCTTCCCCTCCCCTCTTTCCCTCGTTGCCCCTTCCGATCTATCAGATTGTGAGAAAGAGAGTTCACACACACATACACTCCCTTCTCCCCCTTTGTTCCCTACCCCTCCCATTTTATCGAATTGTGACAGAGAGTGAGGAGCAATGGCTGCAGCGCTTGCTCAGGCGCAGCAAAATACCCTCTCTCTTATCTCCCCCTCCCCCCATTCCCCCCCACTCCTCCCTTCCCCTCCCCCCTTGACTCCTTTCGAACGACCAGATTGTGACCGAGAGTGAACGGCAATGGCTGGCAACGCTGGAGGAGATCACGCCGCTGCTGACACTGATGGAGCAGAAAGCGGGGGGCAGTGAATTTAGGGGGAGAAGAGGGGGGTTGTGACGTGAGAGGAAAGGCGAGCAGGCACGGCAACGGCTGTCAAAGCTGGAGGAGATCACACCACTGCTGACACAGATGGAGCGCTCTGAGGCGCCCAGGAACACGCCTCCTGCCCTGCGGCTCTCCCTTCCTCCCTCCCATCCCATCTGATTGTGCGTCTGTCCCTTCCCCTTCCCATCCAAACCCCACCCCAATCAACCCCCCTCCCCCTGACGACACAGATTGTGACGGAGAGTGAGCGGCAACGGCTGGCAAAGCTAGAGGAGATCACCGCGCTGCTGACACAGATGGAGCGGAAGGAAGGGGGGCAGTGAGTTACGGGGGGTGGGGGGGGAGAAAGAGGGGAAGTGGGAGGAAAGGGGAGCAGGCACAGCAGTGCTGGCAAAGCTGGAGGAGATCACATCGCTGCTGACACAGATGGAGCGGAAAGAAGGGGGGCAGTGATCCAGGAGGAGAAAAGAGAGTGTGAATTGGGAAGAGAGGGGAAGAAGGGAGCAGGGGAGGGGGGGTGGGGAGAGGGGGGGGGGGGGGGATTGGCATGCAGGAAACGCTGGTGAAGTTGGAGGAGATGACAGCATTGCTGGCACAGGTTGGGCTCCAAAGGGGAGTTAAGCGAGAGGAGGAGAGGAGGTGCAGTAAGGAGAAGCATCCTGGGACTTGGGCTTTAAGCTGGCTGGTAGCTGAGCATGCTGGACAGCACCAGCATGGCATGTAAGGATGGAAACGGCAGTGGCACTAGCAAAAGGTGGGAGATGACAAAGGGCTTTGGCACAATAGAGACTTGGGTGCAGCCTGAGAGGTTGATGTGGAAAATGTGGGTATCCTTATGTGATGTCACTACAGTAGAGGAAAGGGGAGAGACCGTTGGTTAGTGAAGAGGTAGTGAAGGTGGTTGTAACCTGTTCTCCATATTTATGTGTGCTCATGCTTCCACATGCATTAACGGAATCCGGCTTCCTCACGAATTCTTTGTGAAGAGGAGCGACCAGGCCCTCAGATTCGAATTGAGGCACCCTGAGCCCTCAGGGTTCACCCTCTGAAAAGCGTGCACCCCTCAGGGTTTGAGCGCTATGCACACCCTGTTCACACAGGGCATTTTCAAGACAGGACCCTGAGCTGACAGGGCACTTTTTGAAGTGCAGCTTTTTCGTTACAACCAACCTCAAAATGTTTATAAAACATATGCACGCACAGTATGGCGGAGTAGTACATCATTCATTACGGTCTAGACACATCAAATTAGAAATTTCCTTCATCATCAGAGCTAAACCCACAGCTACTGTCACCATCATCATCCTCTGGCTCACCACCATCCTCCTCTCTCGTTGTCTGACGCATGCCCTTGCTTCTCCTTGCCCTTGTCGCTCCTTGGGCGGACACGGGACTGCTCTTTCTTCTTGCTGGGACGGCGCTTCTTGGTTTGCGCCACAGGTCAACAACCGCGCCCCAATCCATGTCATAGTCTAGCATGCTCATGCACATGAGATCTGACAGCTTGCCGTTGCAGAGACTGGTTCGTTGCCAACTTTTGATCACATTTTGCCTGCTGAAACCTCGCTCACATTCGACAGTGCTGATGGGGAGAACAGCGACAGCCACCCACAGGCGAACCAAGTTGGGGTAGCTCTTGGGCCAGTCACTAGTCTGCAGCATGGCCGCCAAGCCATCATGAAAGCTGCGCTCTCCACGTGGAGCCCCTTGAAGCACGGGCACCAAGGTCTTCAGCTCTTTCCTTGCTGCTCTCTTGTCCACTCCTGCCACACACACAGCACAAGAAAAGAAGTGAAAGATACGAGTATCAGGCTTCCACAGCCTGGCAGCAAGCACAAAGCAAGCACAAAGCCCGACAGCAAGCCTGGCAGCAAGCACAAAGCCCGGCTGCAAGCCTGTCAGCAAGCACAAAGCCCGGCAGCAAGCACAAAGCCCAACAGCAAGCTTGGCAGAAAGCACAAAGCCCGGCAGCAAGCTCAAAGCCCGGCAGCTACCGGTATGTGAGGCATACCTGGCAGCACTTCTCTTTTGTCACCCGCATGGAACATGCCGATGACCGACTCCAAGTGCACCGCGCACAGCTCATCCCGCGCCTCTGTGTTCCGGGGCCAAGTATCAGGCATCCACAGCCTCACTCCGTTCAAGTTGTCGAGGTCGCCGAGTCTCTGCCCCAAGTTGTCGACTGCTGCCTTCGCGAACACTCTGCAAGGGTCAAAGCAGGACTCCAAATCCCCCGGGATCTCGCTGTATCCCGGAAGCTCCTTCTCGTGCATCTTGAACTGGTGCACTCGCAGCCGGCCTTCCTTGTCAACTCCCTCCACGGTCACCTTGCGACTGTTGGTCGACCCATGTCGCGAGAGAAATGTGGCCAGGCGCTTGCTCCCGTCACCCCCAAAACGCTCGCCACAGGTGATGTAGCGCTGACAGATGTAGACGCAGGTGCGTCTGACCAGAGATCCCGCTACCGTGAGGTCCACCTGAGTGGAAGGGAGGAAGGTAAAAAAAAAACAGGGGAGTAGTGAGTAGTATTTCCAAAAACTTTAACGCATACGTACATTGCAGTGGGCTACCTCTCGAGTCTGGAATGCCAAGTTGAGGTTGTTCAGCTCCTCCAAAATATCTGCTAGGAAGAACAAGTACACGTGAAATTTGAGCGATGTAACCACATGATACATCTCCGTGTCGTATTCCAGGAGGAGAACAATCACAGCGGGCAGCACTTCGACAAGCCTAAGCACAGCCATGCCACGGTTGAGCCACCTAACGAGGTGGATGCCTTGAAGCTCTAGGTTTGTCATTGAGAAGATCGCCTGCAGCTCCTTGAACAGCATGTGCCAGTTGTGCGACCTCCCCAGTAGCTCTGCGACGGTCCTCAGGATGAGGTCCACGATGCCAAGCTCCGGTGCGGCACTAGCAGCGTCCTTTGCAGCTAGGGCTTCCCTGCCAAACAGAACAATGGAGACATGATCAGCAATGCGAAAGGAACAATAAAACAACGATGAAAGAAGAAAGGAACAATGAAACAATGATGAAAGAATGAAGGAACAATGAAACAACGATGAAAGAATGAAGGAACAATGAAACAAAACAGCAACAATGTAACAATGAAGGGACAATGAAACAATGAAATGCGCAAGGAACTTACCGATGGGCGATGCAATGAAAGGAGACGAGATGAGGCAGGCGAAGACGAAGTCGCGCGACCAAACCGCCCGTGACGCCCATCATGACCGCGGCTCCGTCAGTGCTGATTCCCGCAACTTTGTTCAGGTCTAGTCCGATGCTCTCCAGATGAGCTAGGAGCACTGCAAGAAGGGACGCAGCATCACATTTCTCGACAGACAGCAGTGCAAGAAACTCGGTGACCACTCGCCGGTCACGAATGAAAGTAGCGAAAACAATCATGTGCTTGCCGCGGACTCTGTCAGTGCTCTCATCACAGCTGAGTCCGACGAACGGACTCGAATGCAAGTACTTGTGCTGCCTTGCACGAAAGTATGACGCTGTGGACGTGGTGAGCTCCTGGAAGCCATAGCTGCAATGAATTAGACGAGAGAAGGGAGAGGTGAGCTCCTACAAGTGTACAAGCGACTGCTGAGCTCCTAGAAGCTATACTGGTAACGAAATCAGTACGCTTGCATAGAATGGACAATGGGGTTAGTGACAGCAGTACTCACGTTGTGAAATAAGAACCATAGCCCTTGTTCAGGAAGCCCGACGTGCGCCTTCGTAAAAGATACTTGCATAGCTCGACCCACATCTCAATCGGCGCATCTGACTGGCAAATGAACATGAGCGTCTCCAGGAGTGAGATGACCCGTTCCTTCACGATGTCGTACGCTGACGGACAATCCTCGATTCGTTGTTGCCCCTTTGTCAGCTTCTCCGCGATGGCCTGATTCCACACTGCTCGCTTGTGTTTCTTGGTGCGCTGGTGATTCCGGAACGCTTGTGTCTGGACATCAACCGCTCCTTCACCCCCGCGACCGTAGTTAGTTCCGGGACCTGCATGATGCATGCACACACTGCACCTCACAGAGGGGAACCCGGCCTTAGTCTGACACAGCACAAGCCATGGGAAGTCCGAGGACCACTCCTTCTTGAACCGGAAAAGCGCATCTTGATACTTATCCTCTGCCTCGTCGACGATGGGCATTGAGTCTGAAGATGCGGCAGGGGAAGTGGGCCCAGATTCGGCAGGCAGCGTCACGGTCGGCGTGGGAGGTGGTGCTACCCACGTACGCCCAAAGCTGAGAGTGACTTGGCGGTACCGGGCACCGAGCAGCTTCTTGGACGTGATGGGACCCATGCGGGTTGCACCATGCGCCAACGATGTCACACTTGCTGCTGGAACTGGTGCTGCTGCTATTGGCGCGGCAGGAAATGTTGCTGCTGGAACTGGCGCTGCTGGGACTGGTGCTGCTAGACTAGGTAGTGATGCTGCCAATGGGACAGATGTCTCAGCATGATTCCTAGGCGGGGTGGAAGAGGCAGGTACTGCGTGGACTCGCCTCAGGAAATCTAAACCCGTCAGACCGCAGGACCTAGAGGCAAGGGCGGGCTCAACGGGGGCCTGACTACAGCTGCCAACCCTATCAGGCTCCGCCATGGCGATGGGCGGGCAGCAATGCCCAAACGCATGGGCGGCGGCAGAAACAGATCGACGAGGAGGAAAGGCAGTGTCTCTCAGTTTGCTGGTGACCCAAAAGCACAGCTGTATGAAGCTGGGTGTGCAAGAGATGCGTGGTAGGGAAGGGCGTTTCAGGTGCAGCAACAATAACGGAATTGGACGGAGCGGTGCGAAGAGGGACGGAATTGGAAGGGATGTGCATGCAGGATTCGTTCGACCAATCAAACTTTCGTCCCTGTCTGCAAATAGCCCGGCGTTTGCAGCGTGCATGGTGCGCTGGACTATACAGTGCCTTTGCGGCTTGGGCAGAAGTCCATTCCCTGCCAGCGAAGCCCAGGAAACGCGCATGAAGGTGGGTGTTAGTGCGATTCCTAGGCATCTTCAACGGGAATCTGGGGATAAGCCTAGTATCGTCCCCTGTCAGTACAGAGGGGCTGTATCAGGGCTGTCCCCGCTAATACCCTGAGGCCTCAGGGCTTGGCGAAGCTGAACACTCTGAAATAACAGGGCTGCGTACGATATACATCCTGAAATTTCAGGCCAAACAAAAAGAAAACCCTTAAATCTCAGGGATCACGAACAGACCACACCCTGAAAATCAGGCTTTCAGGGTGTTTTACCCTGATATCTGAGGGCCTGACGAGGACGAATAAATTCATTATGACATCCCTAGCGAAGATTGTCCTGTTAGACTGTATGTCACGAAAAGGATTCTCATAACGAGTATTTCTGGATCTTTCCTCCTCGAGTTTCTCCCTCTGCTCTTCCTTCAACGCTTCCTGTCTCGCTGCGAGTGCACTCCGCCATGCTCGTTCGACAGAAATACCACCTCGATCGCTTGTTCCGTACAGCAGGCACAAGCATCTTCGAGGCGCCTAGAAAATAATCGCAGCTTCCTTCGAGGCGCCGAAAAAATAATCGTAGCTTCCTTTGAGACTGTTCCAGTTCCACGCGACCTTCTGGTCCCGTCGAATCGCGTCGAAAGTTCTCCCAATCAAGTTTTGCCCGATACGCCTCCACCGTCTCTTTTTCTAAGCCGATCGACGACCGCAGCGCGTTCTGGTCGGGTTGAGTACGGTCCATGTCGATCCAGGTGGCGGCGGCGGCGGCGGCAGCGGACGTGCAGAACCGACCCTCGAGAATACCGAACGTGGCTCGAGCCGCGGGGCCCATCATGGCCATGCCGCGTCAGCCGATCGTCGTGGACCGCGAGAAGGTGCGGTGTAGTATCGCTTTCTAACGCGTACAAGAGCTAAGCGTGATCATAACTCCGTGGGGGTTGTAGTTTTGCACGGATAATACTCTTAGCAACCAGTGTTGCTTATTCTTAGCCTACCCGCGTACACTTGTTGCTTCTTTTCACGTACCCGCGTCCGGTGAACCCTTTCTTCGGGACGGCTTTTGAGTCGACTGAAAAGTCACCGCGTCTGGTCCGGTGAGCCCTGTGTCGCCTGTTCAGCAACGCTACCCTACCCTACCCTACCCTACCCTACCCTAACCTACCCTACCCTACCCTTCGGGATGACTTTCGAGTCGACTCGAAAGTCACCGCGTCTGGTCCGGTGAGCCCTGTGTCGCCTGTTCAGCAACGCTACCCTACCCTACCCTACCCTACCCTACCCTACCCTACCCTACCCTACCCTACCCTTCGTTCGGGATGATTTTTGAGTCGAATTGAAAGTCACCGCGTCTGGTCCGGTGAGCCCTGTGTCGCCTGTTCAGCAACTCTACCCTTCGACAAGCCCTTGGACTTTTGAGTCGAGGCGAAAGTCCGTTAGGAGTCTATTTTTGAGGCGCCTCAAAAATAGTCTTTTGAGTCGAGGCGAAAGTCATTTTTGCCAAACGCAAATTCCCCCGCGTTAATGAACCCTATCCTATGCGGCCTCTTCTTGAGGCGCCTCAAAACATTTGTTTCCCATGTTGTTGTAGGCGATTTTTAAGAATTCTAAAAAATCGCCTCAAAAGTTGTTTCCCTGGATTAATGAATCCTACTATGCTATGTTGCTTGTTCAACAACGCTACCCTTCGCCAAGCACTAGCGTCCGAGGGTTACCCTAGCTCCATAGCTCTACCTCTCAATCTAGCACTTACTCAGAACTCTCCCTGGAACTTAGCCTAGTACTATCCCAGACTCTAACCTACATCCTGGCGCAGCTCTTAGCTAAGCTTCCTTGTTGCCTTTGGAAGCTTAGCTAAGAGCTCTTAGCTAATCCTGACTTTGGGGTTCATTCGTTTTTTAGTCAGCTTAAAAGCAGGCTCTTTGGCTCTTTCGTCTGTTTTTCTGCTGTGTGCGGAGTGCTTGTGCTCGTAGCCTCTCTTGAACTGGTTCAAGATTCGTCTGTGCAGCAGACGTGTCGGCTGCTCTTTGGTTCCAATGCAACGCCTTGTTTTGATCCGTGTAATCTTATCAATTCTTATCAGTTCTTATCCGTTCTTTCCCCGTGTTTCGGCCGTGTGTGCAGACGTGCCCGCTCCTGCTGCGAGTATTCACCAAGGTTAGTCTCAAAAGCGGTTCATTGCGGTCAGTGTATTTCAATTTTTGGTAGGAGATCTGAACCTTCATGTTTTGAGGCGCCTCAAAACTAGTTTGGCAATTTTTGTTAACCCAAGGTTGGTGTCTGCCCATGTGTCCGCCCAAGGGGAGCCCACGGAGAGAGCACTGGGGCTACCATATGCTTACTGCTCCTCATTTCCTCCCATCTGTTCTTCCCCCATCACATGCCATTGCACGTCGCAGCACGGCGGGCATCACGATTTGGACGTGTTTGCAGTGAGAGGGCAGGAGCCCAAGGAGGAGGTGCAGATGTACACGTGGAAGGACGCTACTCTGAGAGAGCTAACAGATCTGGTGAGTGTTCACTGAACATTCGCTTGTACAGTGAGAGGGCAGGAGCCCAAGGAGGAGGTGCAGATGTACACATGGAAGGACGCTACTCTGAGAGAGCTGACAGATCTGGTGAGTGTTCACTGAACATTCACTTGTGCAGTGAGAGGGCAGGAGCCCAAGGAGGAGGTGCATGCAGATGTACTCGTGGAAGGACGCTACTCTGAGAGAGCTGACTGACTTGGTGAGTAGCTTTGAGTATTCAGTGAATGTTCGCTGTGAGAGGGTGCTGGGAAGCAGAGCGAGGAGGATGTACAGATGTACATGTGGAAGGACGCCACACTGAGAGAGCTGACGGATCTGGTGAGAGAGAGTCAGTAGCGAGTACTCAGTGAACATTCACCCACCCAAGGAGGAGGTACTGATGTACACGTGGAAGGGCGCTACTCTGAGAGAGCTGACGGATCTGGTGAGAGAGAGTCAGTAGCGAGCACTCAGTGAACATTCACCCACCCAAGGAGGAGGTACTGATGTACATGTGGAAGGACGCTACTCTGAGAGAGCTGACGGACGGATCTGGTGAAATTCCATGGCTCCTTTACTGTCGAAACGACTTATATGCAGGCTCATGCATGTAGCCCACTATCGTTACCAATGGTCCCATACTTAGAAGGGTGAACCATGTTGGAAAATGCTTTGCGTTGCGAAGCGGCGGTTCTGAGAGCTGGAGCGAAAACGGATGGACAAAACCTCTGCAGGCAGGCAGCCCATTATCGTGACGCATCATCGCACGACCATTTCACGGCATCTCATGGCCATCTGCCCTCTCGGCACATCCCCCACATCCCCCACATCCCCCACATCCCCCACATCCCCCGTGACGTCATCCCCTTCACATCCCCCCCACTCCCCCTGACGTTTCTGCTCTCCCTGCCCTTGTACTCGTTATTGGCTGTCTCAGCTGAAGGAGGTGGTGCCTGAGGCCCGTCGCAGGGATGCTCGGCTATCGTTTGCGTTTGTGTATCCGAATAGGCAGGGGAGAAACGTGATGAAACAGGTGAGAGGGGGGGGGAGGGGGCGGGGGGGAAGGGATGGGCTGTCACTCAAGGGTGTGCCGGGTGTGCCCTGGCTTACAGGCTATCACTTGTGTTCGTGTACCAAATAGGCAGGGGAGGACCGTGATAAAACAGGTGAGATCTGCTAAGGTTGGTGTGAGATTCACGAGGCACAGGGGGTGAGATAGAGAGAAAGGGATGGACTGTCTGAGAAAGAGAAAGAGATTCACTTAAACGTGCTTTCTGGCTGGCTGATAGGCTATTCTTTGCATTTGTGTATCCGAATAGCCAGGCGGGAGGACGGTGATGAAACAGGTGAAGGGGGGGGATGGGTGAGTGACTGGCACACAAGCTATCGTTTGTGTTCGTATACCCGATTAGACAAGGGAGGACCGTGATGATGAAACAAGTGAGGGGAGGGGGCGGGGGATTGTAACTGTCACAAGCTATAATCTGCATTTGTGTATCCGAGGAGACAGGGGCGGATCGTATGGCACAGGTGAGTGGGGAGGCGGAGGGGTGAGTGACTGGCACACAAACTATCTTTTGCATTTGTGTGTCCAAACAGACAAGGGAGGAGCGTTATGAAACAGGTGAGGGGGAGGAAGTGGGGAAGGGGAAGGTTAGGGGGGAAGGGGGGAGGGGGGAGGGGGAAAAAGGGGAGGGGGGAAGGGGGAAAAGGGGGAGGGGGGAAGGGGTGGCGGCGGGATGACTATCACGAAGGGGCGTATCTTGAAAGGCTGTCGTTTGCATTAGTGTATCCAAATAGACGGCGGAGGAACGTTATGGGATAGTTGAGGTGGAGGAAGGGGGGAAGGGAAGGGGTGGCGGGATAACTGTCACGAAGCGGTGTATTCTGACAGGCTATCGTTTGCCTCTGTGCATCTGAGTAGGCAGGCTAGGAGCGTGATGAAAGGGGTGGCATTTGCAAGGGTGGGTGAGTGACTCTAGAAGCACAGTCATTGACTTGACAGGCTATCGTTTGCCTCTGTGCGTCTGAGTAGGCAGGCAAGGAAAATCTTAAAACAGGTCAGGTGAGGGAAATCAATGTGGTCGTGCTGAGACTGGTGGTGCGCATAACGAATCGCCTCACGACTTGCAGTTTTAATGCAGGGAGTCTATTTTTTAGGCGCCTCAAAAGCAGTTTTAATGCAGGGAGACAGTTCAAGGCGCCGCCTCAAGAGTCAACATGACTTTGTGCTGTAGTGTTTCTGACTCCTTGGCATGGCATCACTCCCGTTGCTCTCTGCCCTAACTCATTCCAGGCCGGCATAACCAACTCGATGACTAGAAGACCAACACCAGATGACAACAGGACATTGCAGGAGCTAGGATTCCAGGTGAGCACGACCATTACATCAGCATGACATCAGCAAGACATGAGCGTTCACATCAGCATATTACTCAGCAAGTCTCCAGCACCAGATGACAACAGGATGCTGGGATTCCAGGCGAGCATGACCGTTGCATCAGCATGACATCAGCTCAAATTTCAGGTCAGTTGGATGAACTTTCCTGCCTGCTCAGCCTGCTTTGATCTGATTATTTCTTGTATTGTCAGACAGGATTTTATTGGTCATTTTTTCCCCACCGTCGTTCCGTGTCTTGCTGCTCTTCATTCGTTCGTTTCATCCACGCCTGCCTTCTTTTCTGCTTCGTTTCCAGCCACCACTCGTCTTTGCCTCCCTTGAGGCGCCTCAAAAATCGTCTCCAGCTGCCACCGCTCTTCTTGCCTCTTCTTGAGGCGCCTAAGAAATTGTTTCCAGCCACTGCCAATCCTCTTGCCTCTTCCCTCTTTCCCCTGTCTTGCAACCATCTCTTCCCGCCCACTCTTCTACACTCTTCGACTCACCTCCCCCCAACATTCCACGCCTCCCCTCCCCACCTTTCTCCCTCCACCCCTACCCCCCTTCCCTTCCCCACCCTCGCAACCCCCTTTCGAACTTGCAATGTGCAGATGACAACTTTCTAGACGTCGCTATTTTTGAGGCACCTAAATAATAGACAAATCACTTCCCGTCCCCATCTTTCGTCCTCCCCTCCCTTCCACCCTTCCCTCCCCTCACAACCTTTGGAACCTGCACTGTGTAGACTGGCGATTTTCTAGACGTCACCATTTTTTAGGCACCTAAAAAAATGACAAATCACTTCCCCTCTCCATCTTTCGTCCTCCACCCCTTCCTTCCCTCCCTCCCCCCTCCTCACAGCCTTCTGAACTTGCAATCTGCAGACTCGGGATTTTCTGGACGTCGCTATTTTTGAGGCGCCTAAAAAATAGACAAATCACTTCCCCTCCCCATCTTTCGTCCTCCACCCCTTCCACCCTCCCCTCCCTTCCCCCTCCAACTCCCTTCCTATACTTCAACACGAACTTGCACGGTGCAGACTGGCGATTTTCTAGATGTCGCTATCTTCTCATGAAGCATTTCATGGCATTGACTTCTTGCGGCAGCAACTTAAATTGGCATTTTCGGAATACATGGCTCAGCCTAGCATGCGGTAGCAGCTCAGACAACCCTTTCAGAAACATGAAGCCTGACTAGCAAATTGGGTAACAGTCTCATGCATAGTGTGTGTTCTGTTTGTTATAATGTTCTATGAGATTGAAGTATCCTTAGTGTTGTGATATAATTGGTACTTAGCATTTCTGTAAGTCGATTAAGTGTAGTTAGTGTCGAATCTTACTGTAGAACATAAGTCCGTAGGATGACGTCATCAAATAGCGCTCGTCATAGGACAGTCGTTTCAGTCACACGAACAGTCGCACCTCTTCAATATCATCTAGGGCGCATAGCGCGATAGTGACGAACAGGTACATTAGCGAATAGGTACTTTTCGTAGAACTATAAATCTCTGTCAGGTCTTTTCATTATTAACTTTGATTACCCACAAGTTCACATACTCAGGTTATTCAACCTTGACTATTACATTTTACAAGACTTCCGCTGTCTTACTAGTCTACCATTCCAGCAAAGATCCTGGACCAACACTTGAGGATTTGCCAAGTGTTCGTGTTTATAGTTTTATACTTAGTCTACTACAACAACAGATGATTTACTTCATGATATGAGTGTCAAAAGACTAGCTTAGCTAGGAAGCCATAGAATGGCACAAGGTTTAGCTAGGAGCTAGGAGGAGCCATGAGAATGGCGAGAGGTTTTAGGTGCTAGGAAAGTTGAGGAGAGGAAAAGAGAGTTGGATTAGGAAGAGAGAGGAGTACAAGGAGGGGTTTGTGTTAACGTAGAAACGAATGATTACTAGAGGTGGAAACCTAGAACAAATACTAGTTGGTTGTACTCACTAGAAGCATACCTCAGTCTAGCCTATAACTTCTACATAGATAATATGTATAAGTTGACACACCCCCTAGGCTAGACAAGGGGTGAAACTAAACAAGAAGCAAACAGCTCAGGGCGGCACTACTAGTCCAACCACTGAGGCAGGGGTCTGGAGACCAGTCAGCAAGAATACAACCAAAACTGAAGCAAGCCAGGGTGGCACTACTAGTCCAGCCACTGGAGGTAAGGCCACAAGGCCAGTCTGACAAGCATATATAATAGAGAGTACACAATCAGGATCCTAACAGGGGAGCAGCTATAGGAACAAGACCAAGCTGTACACAGTGCCGCTGATGATCTTTAGGCGCAAGCGCCTTAGTAAAGATATCAGCTGTGTTGGCACCTGAGGCCAAGTGAACTACGCGGGCCTGGCGGCGCTGCTGTAGCTCGCGCAGGAGGAAGTACCGCAGCTGGATATGCTTCGCTCTGCCCTCAAGCCGAGGCTCCTGACACAGGAGTATCATGGCCCTGTTGTCAGCGTACAGGACCGGGGCAGAGCTAGGCCGCTCACCTAAGTCTGTGAGCAAGAAGGTCAGCCAGCGGAGCTCCTGTGCCGCCATGGCACCAGCGTAGATCTCAGCCTCACAGCTAGACTGAGCCACAGACGACGAGCGAGTGGATCTCCAAGAGATAGCACCCGAACCAAGGCTGAAACAGTAGCCCTGCGACGACCTGAGCGTCTCAGCGTCGTCTGCCCAAGAAGCGTCTGTGTGCCCAGTAAGGACCACTGGCCTGCGTCCTCCTAGCACTAACCCCATGCCTGATGTACTAGCAAGATAACGCAAAACCCTCTTAGCGGCAGACCAGTGCTGAGGTCGGTGTCTGCCTGTAGCCACAAAGCGAGCCAGGATGCTGAGAGGGTATGCGAGATCTGGGCGAGTGCAAGTCATCAGGTACATGAGGCAACCCACCAGCTCTGCGTAGGGGCCACTGGGCTCTACTGGCTCCTCAGGAACGGGAGCAGAGAGCCCATGGTCTACGGGTAGAGGTGTGGGCTGTGCGGAGGAGAACTGAAGACCGAACCTCTGAAGGACCTGACGCACCAAGTGTGACTGGGTCAGAGTGATGGTGCGTGCTGCTCTGTCCCTAGAGATCTGCAGGCCAAGATAGCGACGCAGCTCTCCAAGGTCAGTGCAGGTGTGTCTCTTCAGCAGCTCAGCCTTCACAGAGGCCAGTGCGTCCCTGTCAGGAGTAGCGAAGACCAGGTCGTCTACGTAGACAAGGATGTAGAACGGAGTCTGGCCGGAACGCACAAACAGTGAAGGGTCAGCAGAGGACGGAAAGAACTGCAGGTCTGCTAACGTGGCACGTAGCGTGTCGTGCCACTCGCGGGGAGCCTGACGCAGGCCGTAGACCGGGCGCCTGAGAAGCCACTGGGTCCCAGGGGGGAAGGTACCAGTGAAGCCCTGTGGTCGGCGCAGGTAGACCTGCTCGTGTAGGCTGCCCTGAAGAAAGGCAGTAGAGAAGTCGAGAGAGTGAAGCTCGTAGTCACGCTGTGCTGCTACGTGTAGCAGCGCCCGAAGAGTGGTCATCTTCGGGGTCGGGGCGAAGGTCTGGAAGAAGTCAACCCCCTCGCGCTGACTGAAACCTCTGGCCACGTAGCGCGCCTTGAAGACAGGCGGCTCTCCAGGGGGGCGCTTCACCTTGAAGAGCCACCGACCATCGACTACGTTCACCCCAGGCGGGGGAACTGCGTCGACGTAAGTGCCGGTGGATCTCCAGGATGCCATCTCCTGCTCCATGGCAGCTATCCACTGAGAGGCCCAAGGTCCCGAGGTGGCCTCAGCGTAGGTGCGAGGGGTCGGGATGTCGAAGGCGTCTGGGTCACCCTCAGGGACTAACAGCATGGAGCAGAGATGGGGAGCAGCCTCGGAAAGGAAAGCCAGCTCGTACTGCCTGTCCTCTAGGACGTCACTGCCAAGGGCAGGAGCACCCCCGACGGACAGAGGACGGGCAGGGTCAGAGACCAGAGCGGTAGCGTAGTCAAGGCGGCGGGTAGAAGCGAAGTCAGCGACAGCAGCGACAAGCGCGTCAAGGCGCGAGACAGGAACAGCAGGGTCGGTAACAAGAGAGGCAAGGACCCGAGGGACAAGGGGACGAGCAGCACGGAGGTAGTCAGAGAACGGAGGAGGTGCAACAGCAAGGGACGAGGGAGGAGGGGACGGGAGGAGGGGAGGACGAGACGAGTGGGAACGGAGCAACATAGGGTGGGTGGGCAGGACAGGAGAGACGGGACGAGCACGGGAGGGACGGCGAGCCCAAACGTGAGACGGAGGGGTAGGGTCAGGGGACAGCGGAGGAGACACAGGAGGGGAACGAGGAGGAAGACGGGCCGGAGACGAGTCTGGCGGCGGGAACACAGGACCGTAGACAGGGAGGTCAGGAGGCGGTGGGGGAGACACCGGCGCGCGGTCCGGGGAGGGAAGGCCGAGCAGGCGGAGAGCGGAAACCGGCGGCGACGGCTGCTGTGGCGGCGACGACGGCTGGGCCGGAACTCTCGGACCAGCAGAGGCAGAACGACCGTCGGCAGAACACTCAACAGCAGCACCCCCAGAACCAACACCCCAAGAGCGAGAACCCCCTCCAACACCAGCGGCACCCCCAGAAGCCGCAGGACGAACACCCTCCTCCACACCAGCACCCCCAGGGGCCGAGAGCAGCGGCGGCAGTGGCGGCGACAGCGGCGACGGCTGCGGCGGCGACGGCGACGGCGGCGGCAGCGGGGTCGGCGACTGCGACAGTGGGGGCGGAGGCACTGGGGAAGGGGGACGCGGCAAGGACGGACCGGGGGTACCACCAGAGTCAGCAGACTCCTCAACGGGGACAACCGACGGGAGGGGAGTGACGTGGGAGACACCAGACGGGGCAGGACGAGGCGGGAGAGGGGCAGGGGCTACCGGGGGAGAGGGAGCAAGGAAAAGGGGGGGGGCAACTGGGAGACCTCGGTGAGGGAAGCGGCGGTAGAAGGAGACGGACTCGTCAAAGGTGACGTCACGAGAGTGGAGGAAGCGGTGAGACGGCGGGTGGTAGAAAAGCCAGTCAGACGAGTCCAGGGGGAAACCGAGGAAGACACAGGGGACAGTGCGGGCAGTGAGCTTGTCCGTGCCAGAGGCACGAACGTGAGCAAGGCAGCCCCATACGTGGAACGCAGACGCGTCACCGGGGGACCCGGTCCAAAGGAGGGTCGGCGAAACCTGCGGCCGCTGGGAGCGTGGCCACAGGTTAAGCTGGTGAGCCGCGTAGCGAACAGCGAACGGCCACAGAAAATGGGGGGCATCGGCATGGATCATGGAGGTACGGGCGACCTCCATGACCAAGCCGATGCGGCGCTCAGCAACCCCATTCTGCTGTGGCGAGTCCGGCAACGTGTACGACTGGGTGATGCCCTCCGCACGACAGAACTGTCCAAGCCGACCAGAGGCGAACTCGCCGCCACGGTCGGAGTGGAGACACAACACGGGGAGACCGCGGTGGAGACGCGCAGCTACAACCCACGGGAGAAGAACGTCGGGCACGTCGGCCTTCCGCTCCAGGGGAAACACCGTGGTGTAGCGCGTGTAGTCGTCAACGAGCACAAGGAAGTAGCGCTCACCGCGCGGTCCGGGGACGGGGGCAGGGCCCCAAACGTCCAAGTGCAGGGTCTGAAGGGGGGCAGTAGCAGGACGCAGCGAGGAGGAGTGAGGAGCACGGCGGAGCCGACCCTCGACGCAAGGCGTGCACGGTGGGGCAGTCGAGGGAGGAAGGGCAGGGAGCGACGCGGGGAGACCTAAGACAAGACCGTGCTGGGACATGTGACGCAGACGCGGGAGAGCAGGGTGACCTAAGCGGTGGTGCCAGAGAAGGGAGGGGTGAGTGAGGGACCGACACGAGCAAGCTGCAGCGACCTGGGAGGACGCACCAACCGGGGGGGAAGCGGTGTGTAGGGTAAACAGACCGGACACCGGGTCCCGGGGGAACGTCGCAAGGGGGGAACCTGAGACAGCCTCAGAACAGACAGCGAACCGCTCGTGCCCGGGGAACGTGGTGGTGACGCCGAGGTCCTGGAGACAGCCGACACCAACCAGGTTCCTGGAGAACGAGGGAACGTGGAGGCCAGTAAGGGAGCCCGAGGGAACTGCCGGACAGGGAAGGGACGTAGAACTGCGCGCGACGACCGGACCCGCAGAGGGGTCAGCGAGAGAGACAACAGCAGGTGCAGCAAGCGGCGTGAGCGTGGAACGGTCGCGGAAGAAGCAGGCAGAAGCACCAGAGTCGAGAGTGAAGGACAGCGACGCAGTGGCGGAGGCCGCGGACGGAGCCGGTGCAGCGACTAGACTAGGCAACCTAGGCAGTCCTACGCCTGTCGCAGCAGGGGAAGCTAAGCTACACAAGGGTGAAACACCTAAACTAGAGTACACATGGTAGTAAGATCCATCAACACTAGAAGCGTCAGCATACAAAGCATGCAAAGCAGCACCTATCTGATCCATGTCTA